CAGTAACGCCGCCTCAACTCGCGTTGATAGCCCGCATGTATGCTCCAAACAAGAAAGTTGCACAAGAGCTTGCTCCTTGTGAATGACAAGGCGCCCAACCTGGCCTGATGCCAAAGTATTTGCCAACACAATCGCAGGCTTTCCCATTTTACCAGCATCGCTCTTCGTCTCTTCTTCTGCCCGCTCGCTCGCTCATTGCGCCTGGTTGGGTTTTGTATTTTCTTGTTGACTTTTTTAAAATTTTTTTTTTATAGTAATGAAGAGAGCATAGCAGTGTTAGAACAGTGCTTTCACGGAACAATCATTCACGCTGTATGATGATCGGTGGTGTTCGTCGTGCGTATGCAAGCGACGGACTTTGTGATAGTAAAACATTCTTACATGAGTATTTTTTGCATAAAACAATGAAACTAATTCGAGTTTTCAGTTCCTTTGGGGTCATGTGAGTTTTCCTTTTGAATTAGTTTCCCAGAATTAGTTTAGGCAAAAAAAGGTGAAATCACTTAACGACTTCAAATTCAACTCTTTAATATACTGCAATCAATATGTTCACTTTGAAATAACTGTATTCTCCTGAATGTTTTCATTTAGTGGTATTTGTGCAGCGTAGGATACTTTTGGATGCAAATGCCGGGGTGCAAGCCAGGTGTCGAGTGCAGGTTTTACAGTAGAAAACTGTTTCACGTCTTTGCCCTTTGACTTCTGTCACTGCAGACCGCACAGTCTTTGCTCCTGCCTCCATCTAGTTTGTAAATATAGTAGTTTCGTCGGTACCCCCAGCTTTATGATTTTCTCTTTGGCATAGCAGTTGGTTTCGTTGACTATATCAGTCAACAAGGCATCAGTAAAAAAACACTGGAAGTGTTCCAGCTCACTTGTGGGTTTAGGTTGCACGGCTTGGGGACCTGAATTGTGAACCGTAAAACGGTGAGTCTCAAAATCTTGATCTGTGTCCAAGTAGGAAGTCCAACGTGGAGGATTGACTGCGTCTGTGCCTGTCTCCTCATCACTTTCTATTCTCTCACCGTCACTTTGCTCCCTTCTTTCTCTCTCACTCCTTTGGCGCTCTCCTCCCTTTCCTTCACTTTTCTCCTCTCCGGCACACTTTTTGAAGATTCTTCAAGGAACACCTCGGAGGCCTACTTGGGATTGTAGGTGTCTACACCGCTGAAATCACCTTCACAGTCATTTGAGTCACAGGCCTGTCGATACAACGCAGACAGAGTAAAGGCGGCCATGTTGAACACTCAAAAGCACGTAAACAATGCCCTCCTGCGCATCTAGCAAAAAAAAATGTGTTGCACCTCTTACGGCATTTGTTGGAGGGACAAAAAACTAAGTATACATAGCTTACATACCCGACAAGAGATGGTGCAAGTTGGAATTGTCAGGATGTGCCCAACATTTGACCCCAAAGGAGAAAAATGGGCTCTAGGGGAGCCCCAACCCTTGTCCAGAATGGGAATATTTATTTGTCAGGAGATATCCGACAAATGACCCCAAAGTGGTAATGTATCCCATGTGCAGCCGCGCTAAATGTGTAAAAAAAGGGGCATTTTTTTTTCTTCAGCTTTTTCTAAACTTTTTGTGCTTACCCACTGAAATATGGCCCACCCCAATTTTTTTATGAATTTCAGGCGGCAGGGGGTGAGCAATGATTCAAGATATTACGGTTGTGAAATTCTTTGTCCGACAATAACATTTGCCTTGTCGAACGTGGTGAAAAAAATATCTGACGTTGCCGTCGTGTTCAACATATCTAGGAGTATGTTAAACACCCTCTGCATGTAATGAACAAATTGTAAAAGATTGCTATAACCAATCATTGGGTATATCGAATGAAACCGGGCATTTTATACAGTTTGTTATCAACGGGTTTCACTGTTCGAGGACGTGAAGCATGTGATTAATCGCCGCGTGGTTTGACGTCACAAAAAATATTCAAAAGATCCGTGGGGTGGTGAGTGAAACCTACACATTATGTCTGTACCAACCTTATTTGTAGGGTCAAGTTTTTCTTTTGGCTGATGCGCTTCGCCAAAATTTTTTGCTGTAGTAATGACCATAACTGCTGAAGCTAAACCCATCTTTTAAAATCCTAAAAGGAAAAAAAAAATTGCCTGCGTGTTTTGCGCTTTTTGCCAAACTGCAGTAGCTATGTAGGGTGAGTGGTGCTCTTAGTGTTAGTGTGCCTAGGACAGGATGACCCTTCATCCTTTTCAGTGCCTGAAGTGGGTGATGCTCTTAGTTCAGGCGGTGCCCAGGGCAGGGTTTTGTATAGAAACATTACGTCACACCATTGTCTCTTCGTGATGCTACGCGCCCACTTCCCTTCAGCGCCACCCGGATGCAAATCCTTTGCACTGAAGTTTCTGGGTCACCAAGAGAGGCGAAGCACGCTTTTCTGCACTTTCCACTCCTCTCCACTCCACACGCTTTCTCACACAACCTGCTTGTGCTCCTCTCATTACTGTGTTCTGGGTTCGTAGCTCAGTCAGCTGTGCACTTGGCTTTCACGCCGGTGACCGGGGTTCTGTCCCTAGCACCGGTTGCCGTTTTGTTTTCAATATCGTTTAGCAGTTACGGATTGACCGACCTGCACATTTCGTGCTTGCACGGCTCCTGAGGTTGATTAGCCCTATAATGCTACTACAGTACTTTAAAATTAACTGTGGTGTAACTGGATGGGCTGAACAATGACTGTTTTTGCCAAAATTATTTATTGCATTATTAAAAAGAACAGATGGATATGTACATGCTCACCGACTTTGATAGGAGATGCTTACTGGCACACATCTGTGTGTCGCAGGGAAATGATTGAGCGAGAAGCTCGCTTGTGTTCATCTCCTCGGTATCGTCCACTTTAAGCTAACAAAGATGTGCCAGTGAGGGCTCCGCTTCTGGATATTTGCTGTTTGTGTGGGGTTACTTAAGGGGCAGCTATTTCACCTGTGTGTACAGGTGTTTGCCCAAGCGTCTGTCTGCCATTTTTGTGCCTTCTACTCCTATCTTAATTGGTGATTTTAATTATGCAACTCTAAGTGGCACCCTTCAGAATGGTGACTCCTAGCTTCTAATTGATTACAAACCTTATTTTCCTTATTATGGTCCCATAAGGACAAGGAGGTGCTTAGAATTGGGTCAGTATAGTAGCGTTGTTCATATATGTGTTCAGGAAGCATGCATTTTTGCCATATAGCGATACATTCTCAATCTCAAAGTTGAACTTTTAAACTAATTGAAGTTCAATGAAAAAACTCAGCAAACCTGTAAAAAAAGACTCAAAAATGCACTGATGATTGGAACTACTCCACTATTGGTGCTCTAGCACAGTGGTTCTCAACCGTCGATGTTTCGCGGACCCCTTGTGGATCGGCGGAGATGATGGAGGACCCCGTTCGCGGTGAAGGGAGAGGAAGGGTATACGATAAATATAATGATGATTTAATAAATGGATATAACTAAGGGCTAGTGTGAAGTAGACCTCTCTTATTGACATGCACACGAGAAAACTCGTTCGAAAACTGAAAAATGTCTTCTCGACCTGAAAAAAAAAAAATGTTTTTTGCCCGGCTTGACTGCTGAGGCATGGCTTCGCGGACCCCTAGAATGCCTTCGCGGACCCTTTGCGGACCCCCATTTGAGAACCACTGCCCTAGCAGCATAAAAGTTGACCGATAATATAAGGTGATTGCCAAAAATGTAATTTTGTCCCTGCGAACTGCAAGGCTAGCTTGTCCTCCAGTATACAATGAGCTTTGCAGAGCGGCTGTACCTCCACAGGCAAACAAACACAAAGCTAGTCAAATCCGGCAGGAAGAACTCGGAAGATAAACCCCTGAAGTCTCGGAGGAGGCAGCCAACATTTCGCTAAGAGTCTTCACTTAGTTGGGATCACCAAGTTTTATCGAAGGTGTTAAAGCAACATGTTTAAGAAGATAAACCCATTTTATTGAAGCACAGTTTTGTAAATGAAAGGCCTCAATTTGGAACGCAACAAATCAGTAACTAACTGAAAAGAAAAAAAATCAAGTGGTTAAATTATTAATGCTGGTATCTGTTCACTGGCAAAATGACTTGCTTTATGTACAGTTAATGCGCTTCTTGAGGCCCAAGCCACCAAGGGTAAGCAGCGTTTCGTTGAAAAGCATTTAAACGAGGGTGTATCGCCTTTTTCTCTAAATAGAGTTTTTTTCAAAGAGGGTTCTATGAACTGAGGTTTCTAAAATGATCTTCGCCTGAATACAGTGAAATGAATGCTTTCACTTGCATGCTCAGTTTAATGTCGATAGGCACCATGCTTCATATTATATTTAATTTGCCTATAATGCATTGCATTGGCACATATTTTTGAAAGGGATATGGAGCAAACCTTTCCTTAGCATTTTATGCAGCTCCCCATTTTAGTACTAAATCTATATAGTAGTGCACACTATCTGTTTATTGCATAGTGCAATGTCACATGAGATCCTCGTGGGAGTGGAACAGCTTTTAGTTATATCTGGTTATACCCATACTTATGACGAGAACCTCAATAAAGTCAAATTTTTGAAACATGAAATATGTGCAGACCCTCGCATAAGTCTACTGAAGTACCATTCAGCTACCTTTCGGACTGCTTGTCCCTGGTTGAAATGTGAAAATCGCTGTAAAAATACTGATAAATCAGCGACAATGGCATAAACAAAAATTAATTGATCAGTATTTTTGCCTGCAACTCCCATGTAAAAAGATTTTGTCCAAAAATTGTCAATTAGTTTAGGTATTGTTGTTTGACTGTCCCGTTGGCCAGGTAAAATTTGACAAGTACTTGCACGCTGAATAAAGTCAAGCTAGAAATGCAACTTTTATTCAGGAGGAAGACTGTTCCTTGCGCTCCATCATATTGGAGCTTCTGGATCTCTATAGAAGAAAAGAGAGGATTTCTGTTGTTTTGGTGTGGCATTTCAAGACCTAAGATGTCCTTTGTGTTCAAAATTTTGACCTTGTCTTTCCTACAGGCAAGGCAGATACAAGCGAGCTTTATCTTCAGTCAATTCACCTTGACCCTTGCCCTGGCCCTGACGAAGATGCACCCCTTTGCGGAGCAGGTGAAACATGCGCGTTCACCCGTTGATCGGGAAGGAACATGGTGTGACTGACTGCATTCTTTCAGATGCTGGATGTGTTGAAAGCTGCTGTATCCTCTAATGCACTAAGGCATGTCAGGTATAAGGAGTCTTTCTGGGTGAGGGAAATGATTCCCAAGCCTCAAGACCCCAGAAGGATCATTGTCAACATGATCCAGCACAGGTGAGGCTTTTCATTGTATCTTTGTTGTTTTCTTGTGGCACATGTTATTGCTTGTTTCGCTTTCTAAAAGTATGTAGTTGATGCTCGGGGATGACTTCACTTGTGTAATGGTTGCACTTCTAAGCATAACCGAGAGAGAAGTGGATATTTTCTCCCCATCAGTAAGGAGCTCATTTGCATGCCTCTTATCTGTACCTAGTCCTTCAGCATGTTAGAGCAATCTGTCAAAGTCTCGGAAAGTATCATTGCTAGGTCCACCTTTGCACGTGAGAGCTAGCAAATGCGTGGTACACTGGAGTCAACTTATGCTAGCATACTATCATGAATTGAAAAATATCCAGAAAGGGGTATAGGAAATTGTTTTTTGAAAATAAGCCTGCCGCAAAGTACCAAACATTCGCCCATTCCGCAATAAGCGCCCACCTTTCAATTTGGTAACATTTAGAAAAAAACACGAGGACATATCTTTACATTATTCTTGACCTTTGAAGTGCCCATCTTTCACTTTTACATGATTGTCTCCAGATTTTGAGTGGGCGCTTGCTCGGGATTTTAGGGTACTTGCAGTCTGGTGCACAGAATCCAGCAGAGGTGCTGCCGGCGCCTCCGCTGGATTTTGTGTTCCAGATTTTTCCACTCAGAAAGGGCCGTGACACGAACTTCGATCACATTTTTAGTAGGAAAATAGACGTCGCACGTGCATAATGTTTCAGTTTCTGACCAATACAAATATATAAGCTAACCCAAAATAACCATGTATTTGTCATTTTTCTCACAATCTAGTTGTTTACTTTGGCTGCACTGCACTTTGTACTATATTTCAAACAACATGTGGGCCAATTCTACCTGCAGGGGGCTTACGTCATAGAAATAGTGCAGCCAAGGGTGTTAGGCGGAACATCCAATTTTGTTTTTACAGGTTTTTTTTTTTTTAACGCGTTAGCGTTAAGGAGCTCATGTCACAGAAAAGCCGGCCTCGGTGGCGTGGCAGAAAAGCCGGTGTCGGTGGCGTGACGCGAAAATCCTGATTGGTCGATAGGGTCATGACGTCACAGCCACATGACCTCGAGCGGGAATTTCAAACAACGCTCACGTGAAACGTGACGTCACGCGTGGAATGAAAGTGATTAAAAAACATGGTATGTAACGCGAATTAAAGGTTGTTGCATGTCTCAAATTATTTCACTTTATAGACCACCACGCGGCCCTGACGTCACGCAGCTGCGGTGGCGCTGTCGACGGCACTGCGCATGCTCAGACACTTCACTCCTCCCGAGTTCGGTTTGTGCGCACGCGCAGTGCCCACACCTGGTGTGGGCAAACGCGGGCTTGTTTGTAAACAGCGTGTTGGTCTATACAGTAATGATTTGCCTTAAAGAAAAATTTGAAGAAGTTTAGGCGTGAATTGAATCCATGAACCCCTCGGTTGCTATTCAGACATGCTATGACTAGGGCATGTGCGCCGCACTTTCTGCTCACTGGTAGGAAAAGCATGAGAAGCAAATGAGAAGGCAATACAATGGGACCCGATAGCGCTATCGCGTGCCACTCTTAAAGGCAAAGCTTAAGCGTTGTCCAAGTTTTTGTTTTGCAAGAGCTATGCAATTCTATGGGCTGCAGAGTGGTACTATCTAACTCGATGGGCAGTTGTGGTGTGTACGTCAGGGTATGCGCTACCATTCTTATCCCGCCAGCGACTATACCGTAAATACCGAGCATGCGCTCATGTCGCAATAACTCTTTCCTTACCACAGGAAAAAACGTTATGGGGAGGTCTCGGAAAAATTGTTTTTCCTCAAATTCCACTACTAGGTGCATCAAAGCACAATGAAATGTAGCTAAAGGAATTCTCTTTTCAAGAATGTAGATGTCAAACAAAATATTTATTATATAGCACAAGAAAAAAAATGTAATGTCAAATTTTGTGGAACCAACAGGGAAATTTTTATTTTAATTAAATATGCCTTGCAAAGTATCAAATTTAAAAAAAAGTCCAAAATATACATTTTGTACTTTACTCTTCTAGAAACAAATTTTGCGGGCTTGAAAAGCGTCCGTTTAAAACTTCTTGTTCTGCAGAAAAAAAAGTTTGCCCCCATGATAACTGTATCATTCCCCGAAGGGCCCACCAAAGCGTTTCGTGCTACTCCGTAGCGTTATGCTGAGGTCAGGGCCTTTTCGAAGAAAACTTGTTTGTTTTACTGTTGATGGCATAAAATCAAGTCTATATGAGGTTGACACTTGCGGATGAAAAATAATGCATTTAGAACACGCCCAGTACCTCAACAGAAGCTCACAAAGACAATAAATTCACTTGGCGCATAAAACGAAACATACCGACAGGCATCTGCAGATAATTCCGGCTGGTTCGACTCACTCCCACATTCGAAACTAAGATTCAATGAATGAACGTCATCTTCTGACTTACTGCTGCCACTTTCGCCACTTTCGTCCACAAAATTGATTGCATATGCACCAAAATCGCAAGTCAGATGATGTCTGAGAAGTGTTGGCATGTGGCGAGGATACCATGCCTGATGCATTTGCTCACAATCTTGGAAGCCTAAATTTGCGCAAAAGACTTGTCCTTTTGCAGAAAACCGAAATTCAAATTAGTGTTCCTCCGTAACATTCTAGATGGTGCCACATTTCGAAAGACAGCGCTGAAATGCGTTGAAAGCGTTGAAATAGAGGTTTGAAATGCATCAATCCAATTGAATGATTTGAGTAGGTGTGGCAAGGAAGTTGATAGGCAGTCACCTCTACTTTTTAAACGTTTGAAATATAAACGAAGGACATATGAAGTGCCCTCCCTATCGAACGTCTGATCCCTTCGAATTAACCGAGGTGATACTCCGTGTCAGCTGCTTCTCCGAGAAGCTGGGGCAAGGTGGTGCAGAGCGGGGAAGCTTGATGCGAAAGTGCCAGCGCAAAGTAGGCATGACGAGAGCAGTACGGCTGCTTTAAAAATGAGGGGTTCCACCAGACCCCTGTACTGATCCTATACAATTCCGAGTGCTTATCCCCATTTTTTTTTTGTGATTTTCTCCAAATTTTGGGTGGGCATTTGCTCAGTATTTTATTGTGAACCCGTCAGTATAGCGAGAGGGAACACTGCACCTCTTTCTTATTTTAATATTTTTTTTCTAAGTCTAGATTCTAATGCATATGATCTTTCTTCTCTGCATGTGCAGCAAGTGTGGCTGGGAGGAGTCGTCCCAGAGCCTCGCCGAGTTGGGCTTTCTGCTCATGGATGCATTTGGACCCCGTACGGGCTTTGGAAGGGGTCCTAACACTGCAATTTCTAACGACTGCTGTCAGCTGGGCTTGAGTATCATCCTGGAAATCTTCAAGGTCAACAAAATTGCCTGCTATAACATTCTTGACCTGCTCTCAAAACGCCTACTTCCCAAGACTACTGCACCAGTGGAACACTATTTCGGTAAGTTGCTCAATTCTCTCGCCTCTGTTATGTCTTTCTGTCGGGGGCAAATGCGTTTTTTAGTTGTAGAACCTGATTGGCATGTTTTTTGGAAGTCCGAGGTAAAATAATCTGTAATCTGAGAATACATAACAACCGGTAACTCCTTTGGGGGCCTATACGTGAGAGAGGAAGCAACTCGTACAACAATTTATTTCACATAGACCTCTCTTTTTTTTTCTTTTTAATTTATTGTTTGATATTAATTTCTATGAGTGAGGAAAGTTTCCGAGCCCATCGAGCTAACTCAGATTCTTCCCTGTGCATACACTGTGTAGTCGCTGCTCCTAGCATGCAGGTGCAAACCTTGACGCATGCGGTGCACAACCATGAATTAGGAACTACCCACAGATTGAAACTAGCAAAGCAGGAGGAAGCAGAGCAAAAATCGTGGCCATGCAGCCTAGTGTGTCATGTCAGCTGCGCCAGGTGGGAGTCTTTGGATGTCGGAACTGGGAAGACAAATGCCACCAGTGGTTAACTGATGCATGTGTGCCTAGTTCAACGGGACTGGCGTTCATGAACATACCAGCCGAGAAAGTGTATCAATCCCGAACGTATCAATTGTGTGAACACCTATGTTGGAGATATGTCAACCATTCCATCTCAGCAATTTCATGTACGGTATGTAAAGCCACAAATAGAAAGAGGGGTTCATGTTGGTTTAGCATTCTGCGATTTTAGAACCCAAAAACGGCGGGACGATAACAAAACAAGAATTGGCTTTGTTATGCTTTTTTTTCTGTTTGTGTTCAGAGCCTGCATCGGTAAGAGAAAAAGGGTTGCGCCACTTCCAGGGCGTACATACAAATAGACCCAAATCTACATCGGAGCGGCCCCACAATTCCCCGCACGGTGTGGTGCAATGTGGGGTCGTCGAAATGTCTTGTGGGATTTTCCAGAAAGGTCTATTTTGCTGCCTCTGCAAAATGGGTTCGACACCCCGTCATTGCACCAACACGCCGGATTACTTACGTTTATGCCTTCCAGTGGCACACCAGTTTGTGAAGATTGCAGAGACCAAGATGCTGTGAGGAGTTTGCACCTTAAGTAACACCAGGCAAACCTGGTGTTACTTAATCACCTGAATGAAGGCCTAGGCGATCGAGGGTGCAACACAGAGATCCGAACTGATCAGTTGCATGTCTCTGCAGAGCTGTTTGCCCGGATGATTCAGGCCTGCCCTCAGCTGCTGGTGCAGTGCCAGGCAAGGATTCAGCAGTTATTAGGACAGCTTCCCAATCTGCCTTGCCACACGACGACGCAGCTTCTGCGGGCGGCTACACCCCTCATCAAGGTCTCCCTCGCACTCAGGGATTGGCTCATGATCATGCTGCGCAAGCTTGTCTTTCACCGGTAAACCCTACTCTGCCCCTGTGCTTGTAGCGGGGCAAACTATGGTGGGAAAACGATTCCTCCGTATTGTTTACAATTCCTGCAATTCAACTGATAGTTTGTTATGATTAAAACTTCTTTCACAGCCTTCATACCTTTCATTTCACATTGATCTCCACTATAAAGTTGCCATTCCCTATTGCAGCAAAAATATGTATTTTGAATGCTCCCTACCTAAGACCGGCTCAGAGTGGAACTGCCTTTCCAGAGACACCCCCTCCTTCACAGTTGCCTTAACCAAACACTTCTCTAATCATGCACTTTGTTAATTAAAAAAAAATTATACATTTTATAACACCTTTGAAAACTGGGTTAATCTAGACTTGGGCGCTTGTCCGATCAAGTCGAGCGCTTGATGTGTAGTTTGCAGAATTCCCAAGTTAGGGATATGTTAAAAGTGGGTGCTTCTGCAGTATTTTATGGTAAATAAAGGCTCTCCATCAAACTTTTTTTCTTTTTTATTTTCACAGTACAGCGTTCCATAAACGTAGAGTCATCATTTTTCCAAGACATCTCATGTGTACTAGGGTGCATGTGTGCTTACTCAAAGAGATGTCTGAGGTGTCACTGCTTTGGAATCTAGGTGTTGTCCCCTTTTCTTTTCATGTACAGTCGCCGGCCATATGAGCTTCCCCGGCCGAACGCCGACCGGATCAGTGAAAATCCCGCACGCGGCGCATCGAGCATTGCCACGTTTTGGGAGCCGGGCTATTGGGACCCAACTATTCCGTTATCAAAAGGGTGGACGCATAACATTTATTGGGATTCCGGCCTTTAGAAGTGTGAATCACGAAAACATGGCCGATTAGAATTGCCGTCTTCGGGTGTTGGCGCCAAGTGTTCGGAGATGATGTTACAACTGCTGATAAACTGGAGCTTGCTTTAGGCATAGATAAAGCAGCAGTGTTCGATCGATGTTTACAAATGTAAAAACCCTATGTTTGATATGATATTAGGCATGACAACAATGATCCCTCGGCAAGCAAGAAGTGGCCGACCAGAAAACCATCTGCAAAGTCGTCGTGGAGAGAATTACCCTTGGCGAAACAACACGCTACTGAGCGCAGAACAGTAGAGTCTCCTCGATAAAACGCGTTCATGAAAAGTGCCTGAATCTTTATTCGGCTTCGACACAAATCTTTTTTTTTTTGTTGTTGTTGTTGTTGTTATCTATGGCACATCTTTATAGATTAAATAAATTATTTGAAAATCGCTTGTCATTGTCTAGTCTAGGTTTGAGAAAGATTGTAAGAAAGGGGTTTTGTGTGTAGGATTACTCTTCAGGTAGGAAATATTTATAATGACAAACCGGTTTCACAAATAAAAAAGTAGCATATAACATGTCAGAGACAGTGTTGCGGAGTTGCCACTCCGAAGTTGGAATGATTCCGGAATCATTCCGCATTTTCACGACCCCGGAATGGAATGGGAATGGAATGGCGGCAACGTTGAGGGGAATGGAATGGGAATGGAATTAGGTGCCTTTTGTCCGGAATGGAATGGGAATGGAATGGGCACAGTTCTTTTTTTGTGTGTGTGTTTACGGTCAGCTAAACCGGGCCAGTCAGCGAGTCAGTTGCTCAGAAATAAAATGAGCGGGAAACTGTTAGCCCGCTTGGAGCTCTAACAGAGTTATACACACAAAAAATGCAATACATAAAACTAGCGTCAAAGCAAAGGGGGAAACGGGGGTAACGTGGCGCCTTTCACGGACGTGCAGGCGTCGGGCTTCGATGGCGTGGCACGAGAGCGAAACAAGAAACCAAGCACAAAGCAAAAGAAAAGGGAGCGGCAAAGAAAGAAACCGCCATGCACAACTCATCGTCCTTCTTGTCATGCTTTTTTTGTTGTTGCGACGGTTTGTAGAATGCACGCGCGCGCACAGAGATCTGGGAGTGGAAGCGACTCCTAACTCGCAGAGCTCTGATAACTCGTTGACTCGGGCGCCGCCGAAAGATGATCAGGTATTGTTTTCTTATAGTTCGAGGAGCGTTGTTTAGCAGGCAGCCAGCCCTGCCAGCCCTGCTGCCTTCCACGTTCATTCGCGTGCACTCCTTTGAAGTGCGAAATGTAGGTTTGCTTCGGCATTAAAACAAAGCGAGATTCACTTCCCTCTTCTCCTCTTGCGCTTTGCTCCGAGGCTTGTTTTTTTATACTGCATTTGTACTGTAAGTCCGCCTTTTACTTGGTCTTTGTTCCGATGCTTGTTTTTTGTGTTATATGTTTTAGTGGGTTGGTGTTACAAGCAAGCTAGCGGATTTCCGTTCATTTCCTTTGAGTTCAGTCTCTGCATACTTCGTTTTACCTTGCGATGGACCGCTACGGACGCTACGAGTCACCCTAGGCAATCCAGCACCGTGAGCGGGACTGCAGGGCCACGCGACTTTCAGAAAGCACTTTCGATGGCTCTCGTGCTGTCTGTTGAGGTCCATCGTAAGGTGACGTAGACTATCGTCACCGCTCTTGGTGTGACCGAACTGACTAGACCTGGAGAAAAACCGTCCCGCGCCAGACGAGGTGCGACCGTTGCTGTGAGGGCAACTGAGAAGGAGAGCTTTGTGCTAGCTACCACTGAGGTTTTGGCTTTCGCGTGTCTCGGCTGTCCGGTCTGCATTTGTGTTCCTTGTCCTGGACCCTGTTTGAGGCGGTGAGAAGTCAGTTGGACGGTGTTGTTAAGGAAACACGGGGAATTCCAATTCGAACAGTGCGGTATTACCCCGTTAATTGTATCTTGATGTGAAGAGCTTTGTCAACGCTGACTCGCCCGACCCGTCGCCACAACGCGAACAACCGACACCGAAGTAGAAGAATGAATCGGTTGGTACCGTCAACTGCTACATCACAATTCAGACGAGAAGACAAGATAAATACAGATCGAGTCATGGCAACGTGGAAGACAGTTTTTGACATTAGTCGCAAAGAAAATAAGCAAGCTGCACGCTGAAAGTTGTGCAACGATACGAAACTGTACACGGTGCGTGCAGTCGGCGTATATCATCGAACTTTATTCGCCATCTGAAGAGGAAACACGAGAATGAGTATGCGAAGGGTGGAAAAGGGCAGGCGAACCAGCCAAAAATTGAATTGAATATGATAAGAAATATTGAGATTCGTAAAGCAAGCGTGAACTTATGCGTTTTAAAACAGGTTTCGTGACATGGTCTATACGGTCCCTCGTGCTGCGCCGCACAGGTTACATTTTGTCAGAGGATGTGTTCTTGCCGCTGTGCATGGAATCGCTTTCAGCAGTGTATTAGTTTGTTGCTGTATTTGAAGAATACAGTAATATAGCTTATTCCTGCGCCACGCACGAACTGGATATTTTTATGGTCTTGTCAAACAAACACGCTGGCCGCGTATGTCCTAAAAGACAAATGCAAAAAAGTTTAAAAAAGAAAAGAAAATGAGTGGATTTAAGTTTTGTTGTTTGTTGTGAGTCACGTGGTCGCGAGACCGATGTCTTAAACAAGCATCAACATATCAAGGGGCTTTCTTGATGTTTGCAGTACATTGTAAATAAACACTTTGCGCCACCAGCGGTCCGCTTAGTAAAATCAGTGCTGTTTTAAGGAATTTAGTATTTTTTTTGCAATTGTCTCTGCATTTGATAATGTCAGCTTTATGCTGCTTATGCCGGCAACACAATGTAGTTGTCAAGTGCCAATTTTTACGTTTAGGAATTAAAGGAATGGAATGGAACGATTCAGCCATTCCAGCAGTGGGAATGGGCCCAGTGTCTCCATTCCTAGAAATTGATAGGAATTCAATTATTGAAAACTCTAATTCCCCGGAATGGAATTGGAATGGAAGGGGGGTGCCCATTCCGCAACACTGGTCAGAGATATTATGCAGTGAAGAATTTCGATAAGCTGTCTGCGTTTACCTACAACCGGAAGCGGGATTGTAATCGGCCGTGCTTCAGATTCACATTCCAAAACGCGGAATGCTATTCCTGCATCCCAGGCACGTAGCCAGGGGGGGGCCCATGGGGCCCGGGCCCGGGCCCCCTCCGAAATCTTGCATTTTGCTGGGACCTCCTCTCCCCCCTCCCCCTCCCCCTCATACAGCATTTTGTCATGTGCGGGCCCCCCCCCCCCCCCCCCCCCCCGAAACAAAATTCTGGGTACGTGCCTGCTGCGTCCACCCCTTTGATAATGGAATGGTCTGGTCCCAATAGCCCAGCTCCCAGAACGCGGCAACGCTTGACGCGCCGCATGCGGGATTTTCACTGCTCCGGTCGGCGTTTGGCCGGGAGAGCTCATATGGCCGGCAACTGTACAAATTTGGCTTCCCAACTGTATGAGTTTCTTTCATCCCTTGCTAATGGACAAGAATTGGTAGCAGCGATGCCTGCATTTGGGACCGAAGGGGAGCTCTTTCCTAACCGAACCTGCACTATCCTTTACTCACAGGGAGCTTGAATCTCGCAAGGTGGCAGTGTCTGGCATCCTTATACTGCTCCGCAACCTGAAGTCTTTGGAACCTGTCGGACTACACGGACAGGAAAATGAGTTCACCCTGAGCCAGGTAGCCACTAGTGCAAAAGACATTCCACAGGATTGTGAACAAGACGTGTCACTTACATTTTCTATCTGCTTCGTGAATGCTGACAGATTCGGGTGGAAGTGTCCCAGCCGAGTGACCCTAGCTCTCACAGAGCTGTGTGCATGGAGCTGCTGGGACTGCTCAACAAGTGCTTGACGCAACAGGGTTCTGTGCGGCAACTTTTGTACCAGGTGTCTGTAAACTCTTTGCTTGCTAGAGCTTTATAGTTCATCCTTTTCTGGATTCCCGGTTTGAGGGTTTTTCGGTGTGAAGCTGCAAGGGCGTGACATGAGCAAGCACGAATGTTCCTTCGAGTGAGGACGTTAAATCCTGTTAGTGCCACTGATCTGCGATGACCTGGGCTCAGCCCCCAAGACACGTTTTGTGCCCACTGTCGTCACAGTGGGCAGAAAACGTTCATCTTTTGACCCCAAGTTAGTACAAAGGAGCTTCTCTCCTTCCTAGTGGTGTCTTTTCTTTCCTCGAGTTTCCTACCAAGATAATTCTTGACCCAAGTCTCCTACAGGAGGGCACCACTTCCGCCAAAAGAGGCAAAAATAGAGATTAAATGTTACTCAGAATGAACTCACAGGGACTCATCACCAGTGTTGCCAGATTGGGTTATTAAAGGGCAACTCCGCTTCATTTTTGGTTTTGAAAAAACAATGCAGTCCTCTTCAGTATCGCCTAGGAAGACCACACAGCAAATATTACGACGCAGTTCTGTCCAAATGTTTCTTAAACGGTCCGTCAAACTTTGCAACTCGCCAAGTTGCCGAAATCGGCTGACTCGAGCGGGCGAATTCAGGCGCAGCCAACAGCGCAGTCAAGGCTACGGCATGGGCGGAGCCAACATTGAGCTAAACGTCATCTTCGTGGCCCCCTTTTGCTTGTTTTTACTTCTCTGATCGAGTGTAGCGCATGACGTCAGCAACGTTGCCTCTCGGCGCTCAGCGGTGTCCACGTGATTGGCGTACGCGCCTGCGCAGCGCGCTTCTTGGGAGCAGACCAACCGCCCGCCGTGGTCCCGCCGTTACCGCTGTCTTCCTCGTCACAACCACCGTCGTCGTCTCACTGTTTGTGATTATTGCCTCTCGGAGTTTCGTCCACACTATGGACACCACGTGCGCAGAGTCGCAGACTTATGCTGCAGTTGTGCAGACGTCGTCGATTGCCCTAGACACCAAAACGTGGCGAAGAGTGCGGTGCAGACGACACTCGCGCCTGCCGCACGCCCGCCCCCATCCCGCCTTTTGTTGGGCCGAGGATCACGTGACATCTCGTACCACGTGATGGCCACGTACTTGGCGGCCCGAGGCCAATGTTGCCGGACGGAGCCGAAGTTTCGGTTTCGATTTCCGCTCGTGTTTAAAATTAGATTTAAAAATATATATCCCATTTTTCGCGAAGCAAACGACGTAGTGTCTTTTACTAGGCCTTTTTAATTCGAAATCACTCATTATCCCGAAATCTTCTGAATTGAGCGGAGTTGCCCTTTAATAGCCAAATTGGGCCAGCCAATCCAGAAATGCAGGTTATTTTAGAAAGACTCATAAAGATTAAAAAATGCAGCGACACTTTCTAAAAGCATAGTTTCTATAAGCAAACACGGGCAGAATAGTTAGAACCAGACTTGGACGTAGTTCAACTACCCTACTCAAACTACTGTAGTTTAACTACTTTTCCGAGTAACTTGGTAACTTTCAATTACAACTTTATTTGGGTAATTTTTAGTTTAATTTAACTACGTTTTTCAAATAACTTCTACTCAAATTACCAACTACTTTCGAAATCTAATGCTAGATTTTCTCATCAGAAAGGTCTGAGTGCAGAAATAAATAAGACGCTGGCGGATGAAGTGGTATTCCCCAACATGGGGCCCCCTCAGATTCCGTTCCCACGCACTTATACTCGGCAGCCGTAGAAACTGCATCACAGACGTCCTTGGGCCAAGGTGGCGACGAGCAACCAAAACATAACACCGGCGCGCACGAACGCAGGCATAGGTGCCTAACAAGCCTTAGTCGGGTATTGACCTAATCCGGTAACGCACTCAGGCGTTGTGCGTCCAGCTGCAACCGTGAAAGACGGGGACACTCCGAGGGTGTTTGTTTTCATGTTGTCTGCCTCTAGTGAGTTCTGACTCAAGTGGTAGGTTCCGCGGCAGGCGGCATTGGAATGACCTCGCAGCTGGGCGCCTGTTCCCATGGTCGCCTCGTCGTCAGCGCATACTCCCTTGCAAAGCCGGACTCCCCCGCGCACAAACATAGACACGGATAATCCCTTCATTGGAGCAGGTTCCCGCTTTCAGCTGCAATTGTACAAGCGCCGATGCTTGTTCACGTAATCCTTCGCGTGCTTCTGACCTTCCACGCCAGGGAGACCTCCTCTTTGTTGAAAACGTTTTACTTGTCAGGGCGTGTCAGGCGCGTCAGGATACCGTAGTCGCCGGCGAGGATTGCGAGTCACCCTTGGGAGATCCTTTTGTTGGACCGGGCGTCAGCGGCGAAGTATACTTCGTTTCATTTTCTGTTAAACCCAAGCAATTTTTTTTTTTGTTTCAGAGGCGTAGCACTAGCACTGCAACGAGACGCGCAGTCTTCCGGATAATCTAATCGTCGTGGTGCGAGACTTGATCCGTAAGAATAAAGATGGTCAGTCATAAAAATCTCAACTTTCCGAAGAAAAAATAAAAAAGGAGGAGAGTTTGTTATAAAAGACCCGCTAGGCCGAGGCAAGCCTCACATGTTTCTTCATGGGCACCAAAGATGCCGACACTCGCTTACCCGACCCTGCACAGCCTGTTTTTGAAATTGAACGCTCTTTGCATCCAGTGTCACGGTAGAACGTCTGTTTAGCTTGACTGAGGACGTCATTAGAAGGAAAAGGGGAAACTCTCCGATAAGAACTTTGAAAGACAATTGATTCTGCGAGCGAATAAACTATTTCGGAAGTCATAAAATGAATGCATTTATTTTAGGCTCGCAGGGTTTTTCACAGATCAAAACCGATGTTCATTTTACAACCGCAAAAATATAAGAAGTAACTTCGAAAGTAACTTCAAAGTAACTCGCTACTTTTTTACAGTAGTTAGTAGTTTACTCAATTACTATTGCAAATGCGTAATTTCTACTCTACTCCAATTACTTTTGGTGTCGATACTCAGTAACTTAACTTAACTACCTTTTTTGAGTAATTTGTACATGTCTGGTTAGAACCCAGAAGCCCATTGGTGGATCTTCATGGAGGTACTAAAAGAAAAACCACACAAAGATTAGTTTTCCTCCACGTTACCTTCTGGCAGTTCTAATGCCAGTTGATGGATGAGTCATCTGTAAACCACCGTAAGCTCTTTTTTTTCCCCTTTTTTCCGCTGATCTGGGGAGTTCAGAATTACCAACCGCCTATACACCTTTCCAAAAAACACTCGACCCCAGGGGCAACAAACAGTTTTCGAGCCCATTCACTGAGTTTGAGGCTAGACTCTCACCGGCGTCCCTCCTAACCCTATAGTCGAGTGGACTGTGATCTCAATAGGCGCAGTTTCAAACGCTGCTGGCGGCTAAATTCTCGTCTTTTCCCGCTATATTTTGTGTTTCATGGTACATGTATTTTCCCGAGGGCATTGAGAAAGCATTGTACCACATTTGAAAAAAAAAAACAAAAAAAAAAACCTGTAAACTACTTTTGTTAGGTATGCGCGCAACAGAACGAATGCGACTGAAATGTATAGTTCGAGTTACTTGTGTTTTTTTTTTCTTACGATGAGTTTTGACGGTGCCGCGCGATTCGCCGCATGTGAAACGACAAAGCGCTTTGCTGTCAGAAATAAATTCCAACAGAAGACAGCCGAAAAGCATGCATTTTGCACTCCCACAAATAATGTGTCTACCGATGGACAGGACATGGACATACAGTTTAGCAAGTGTTAACATTCGAACAATGTATTGTATGTACCACACGATGCAGCGTTATCTGGAAAGAATTTATTTTAGAAAGATCTCAAGTAACAAAGTCACAGTCGACGACAGTCACACCTTGACGATCGGACGGAATCCAAGGTAACTTCGTTTTGGGGCATGTTTTGGGGAGAGCTTCCTTTTTTTTCACAACACCGAGTCAAAGGAACGAACGCGACTGACCCGTTTCCCACCCCAACCCGGACAACTATTTTTGGAGATGACTGAGGATTCTACGCAGATTATTTCTGGGAGGGGGGAGAACAATGTTCGCAAAATCGCGTCGAGGGTCGTTCGACGTCCTTCACCTCCTTCGTTTCCCATGAATGTCGAGCAGAAAAGCTTGAATGGCAGGCGCTTACCAGCCTTATTTCTCACAATGGAAAATAACACAGAAAGGGTATGCAGCACACATAAAGAAAAAAAAAAAAGTGGAAACTTTCAAGAGGGGCGAGAAAACGTCAAATGAAAAACCGCAAAAAACGTAGGTAGAGAACCGCGCTGAGAGGGTCTTCACAGTCCAAGAGAGTGGCAGAAAATTTCTAGCTGATAGAGGGCGCGAGAGTCGCACCAGCCGCATCAGCATCAGCAACATGGAGGCGGCCTAGGAGCGTTTTTCGGAAAGGTGTATACTTCATCTCATCCTAAAATGGATTAAGCACCAAAGCTGCGGGCCGCCAAGTCCTATCACAAGCCATATACAAACCGCATGCTATATCGCCCCGATTTGTGTATCACTGTGCCGGGATGTTTTTGTCTGCTATCCTAGATTTCTAGCTTCTGGCATATTCCAGGTGCATTTGTCAACACTATATTTATGCAATTCTATAGCGGGAATTTTAAATTCCAGCTGTAGAACGCAATCGGATTCTACAACGGGAGGCGTTTGTCTACTAAAGGAGCCGCCTTAAAAAGGTTTGGAAACAAAAAGGCAAAGATACTGTACGACCACTACTGCTAGCCATTTTGGTAACGAAAAAGTGAAAGAAGTTTGCGAGGGGTGCATCCTTCACCGTGCACGCAACAAACACGAGATAGGATTGAATTAGATTGTAATGGTTATATGGGAAAACACAAACATTTTCTGTCAAATCTAGAATTTCTTTTTAAATAAATATTTTATTATTTTAGTTACCAATATAAAACAGCATAACAACAAATTTAAACGGCAATACCTTTGTAATTTGTATTTTTTTGTCGGTACTACAATTTTTTTAGGGGGACTACTTTTCACCACGGAGGCAGGTTTCTTTCAAGGTAGTTCTTAGTATGCCAGCTTTTGGGCCTTAGTCCAGCTTAGGGTGAGACGGAGTATAGTTTGTGATTGTTCTGCGTGAGGAACCATTCGTCTAATAATATATTTATGCACGCCTCACAGAAATGTCACTGTGGGACTGAGGGCAATGCCAAAAGTGTGCAGTTTTTCAGGTCTCAATATAAGTGCCAGTGAAACAAATAGTGTGATAAATCAAATGTTTATGACAATGTCAAAGTATATCCTTAATATATTGTCAGTACACACGTGTATATAGCCAGTCGGAGACCAACCTTGGGAATCGGAAGAGCACTGCCACTTTGGGATAAGTGCAGCACTAACTTTAATTCGTTGATTATGGATACACAAGCGATACTTTGTATGCAAGAGGCAGTGCATATTTTGAGAGATGAAATTGTAAAACACATATTGCAAGGGGTTCAGAAATTTTCCCAAAATAAAGCCTAAAGAAATGGTTTTTTTTTGGGGGGGGAGGGGAGGGGAGGGGAGGGGAGTGGAGTGGAGTGGAGGGGGAGGGGGGGGTGCTGTTTTGGTTATTTTGTTTTATCGGCTTTGACTACATTTGGCCTATTCCTGGCCGCCATTTGGCAGTTTCAAAGTTCCACTATCTGGCAACAACACTGCTCATCACACAGATGTAGTGTTCTGGTTAAGCGCATCACCTCAAGCGATGCTGTTGTGTTGTCAGACGTATCACTGGAAGAGGGCAACATGCAGAACTGTTTTTGTCTGCATGTCGTGGGCCCATTCTAGTCTGTATATCCCTTTCCTCTATGCATTTTTAATTGGTATTGCTACTTTCAGGGGCTCCCAGAGGTGATCAGCCAGAACATCAACCTCTCTGGAGCTGTGCTTGAGCTACTTCTTGTACAGGTGGGATTTCCTCTGAAATGTTTTTTTTATAAGCAAGCTAGGCTTTACTCAAGGAGGCCTAAGTTATATGCAAATGTTGCATGCACCTTATCTTGTGGAGTTCAGAGGTAATGTTTCTTTATTCTTATGAATATTTCAGCTTGAGAAGTACTACAGTGAAGATAAGAACTCCTATCCACCACTTAAGCTGTCGGGCATTGTACAGATCAACATGGACAAGGCTGTCTTGCAAGAACCTCTGGTCTGTTCAAGGGCAACTTACGTCTATTGTTGCATTAATTGCATGGCATGCAGCTAAGCTTCAAATGACATAAATAGAATACAAAAGAGCTGCGCTAATGTGCTGGATTGCCCACCTCATCTTCTATCTTTCCCTTTGAAACTTCATTATCCTCGTTAATAGTGTGGCTATTCTCTTTTACAGAGCCAACTAGTCCTATGCATTCATCGTTGCCTCTCAGTCTGTGATAAGCATGCTCAGGACTGCTCTGATAACTTCGAGGAGTGTGAAGGGGTGGATCCAAAGTCCAAGCTTCAGAAACTGATGCAGAGCCTCACCAGTGTCATGGTGGATGCTGAATTGGAGGATTTTTCGTTGGTACTGTGTCCATTTTCGCTGAAAGACTGTCTCATGCATTTATGGCACAGACAATGTTCACATTTTTCTATTTGTTTGCAACCTAATGTTTCAGGACAAGATGTCAGACTTTAGCACCACAAGTGCTGTGGGTCAAAAGAACAGACTCCTTGCCATGGAGATCATGTGGGTTTGCGAAGCGCTGATGGAGCATTCCTTGTGGAGTGCAAATTGGAGGTAAGTTGGTCAGGTAGGAGGCTTTGGGGACAACTTAACAATGAAGAATTGAGTTTTATTGTTTGCATTTTAGTGCCACAAGTGCCCAGGTGGCTGTCAAGCTGTTCTCGCAGCGTTCTAACATGGAGCAAGTGCTCCGGAATCCTTCCAAAAAGAAAGATGGCAAAACAGCACCGGCGGCAGCACTGAAGAAAAGCCTTCCCTCACTTCTCAGCGCAGAGTTTCTGGAAGCCCTCTTGAAGAACCTCTTTTGGTAAGCCTCAGCATGGCGCCTTGATGGTTGAAATGATGTTATACCTCCATTGTTTCCTCTGTCAAGCTCTGCCTCTGAGTATGAAGGCCTTTCAGAACTTTTGGAAAATGGCACCTTTATGCAATACATGGTCACAGCTGCACGCAATGAACTCGTCAAAGTTCAAAACCCCGGCACGTTTGAGGCACTTTACCATGACCGGTTGCTTGGTTCTCACTTCAGGATTGCAAGGCAAGTGCCTTTGTAGCTATTTTTTCACGAGAGTGGAAGCTTAAAGTAATTAACCGTTGCAACCCTTTTTTTTCCCTTTTTTTTTTTTTTTTTTTTTTTTTTTAGGGTGTTTTTGCAGGTGTGCAAACAGCAGTCAAAGTCAGCAGATGCTACCCTTCCTGCGATCTGCATTGAAAGTCTTGGGAACCTTGTCAGCAGTGTTACGAAGCAGCACCAAGTGGCTCACCTGCCCGTTTTGCTAGCCACCCTAGGTATTAAAAGTTACCATTCGCACCACGGGCTGCAGCTTCTATTCATCCATTATGAGGTCGCGTGCAGACGCCCTGTGCAAGGGAAGCTTATCGTGTATGACTTGTGCAGAAGCGGCCAACATGTCGGAGCAACCAAATCTGGGCCAGCTGATTGAGAGCCAGTTTCGTGTTTACAAGGTAAGTTTGAGCCACTGTCTCCTCAAAGGTTGGGACCTTTGACATACACTGCATTACCATTCAGTTTTTCATGCTTGTATTTTGAGGGATTAATGATAAAGGGCTAATAACACTATTCCTATCCCTTGTAACTGTGTCCCACCCACAATCACATGCTTGGTTTTGCAGGCCTGGGTAATTTATGTACTCATTTATTGTGGATTATACATACATACAAACATATATCCCTGTGAATGCACATATATCGCAAGATAGACAAGTTTCTATGTTGAAATTGGAGCCCTTTCTATATTCTTGCCTTTGTGTGTAAATTGACTGCACTTTTTATTTATTTTATTTTATTTTCCTCAAAGGCCCCCAGAAGATGGGGTATTACATAAGGGGTGGGCATTAGTGTAATAAACAGTGCAAATTATACTGTTTATGTGGATGGACCATGAAAGGTCTTTATTTAAGTGTATGCCTAGGTATTTGTAAGTACTAGTTGCTTGTAAGACAGAACTACCGATGGAGTAATTATAAGTAAATGGATTGGTGCGTTTGTGAAAGGAGACACGTTTACATTTTGAAACATTTAGGACATTTCCCATTTACTGTACCAATTTTCTATAGCTGAAAGGTTTGCCTGCAATTTTACTTGGTCATCGTAACTGTTAATTTTGGAATATAAGACACAATCTTTGGCAAAGAGACGTATGTTATTCGATACTCGGAGCGGCAAATCATTAATGTATATCAAAAAGAGAGGAGGGCCAAGCGCTGTGCCTTGGGGGACTCCAGAAAGAATGGGACTGGTGTTAGAGGGGGTGCTATTTACAGTGACAAGCTGATTTCTGTTGGAAAGCAAGTTGTTAGTCCAGAATAACACGAACGGTTCTAGATTAAGCAGGGCAAGTTTTGACATAGTCGGCGATGCACGTCCTTGTCAAACGCCTTTTCTAAATCGAGAAAAATAGTGTCTGTCTGTGTGTTGTTGGCGAAATTACCATGTAGGTCGTGAAGGAATCGGGCTAGCTGTGTTTCACAAGATAGACTCCTACGGAAACTGTGTTGTGAAGAATGTATAAAACTGTTACGCACTAGGTGATTTATAATGTTGGTGAAAATTATGTGTTCCAAAATTTTGATGACACGCTTGTCAAAGATATAGGCCGGTAATTATATGGTGAAGACCTGTCACTGGATTTGGGGGTTGGAATTATCTTAAATTCCATGAACAAGGACGTAGCCTGTTTGGAGTGATTGAGAGAACAGTAATGCGAGAATGATGCTGCTTACCACTTTTGTGTTTTTCCGTATTTTGCAGTTGATGTTGTCTGGTCCAGCAGCTGATGAAAGCTTCATATTGTTAATCACATTGTCTATGCTATTGTAGTTAACTATTATTGGCTATCATTAAGGAACAACTGTGTTGGTTGTAGTTGGAGGAGTCAGGCTGCACTCTTACGTAAAAACGGAGCAGAAAGCATTATTCAGCATATTAGCACATTCACTGTTACTTAAGGGCTTATCGAAATTACCATGTAAGGTGATTGATGTTACGGGTGAAGGATTTATAGTTTTCCAAAACTTTTTGGAGTTATTCTTAAGCATACTTGGTAGGGTGGTTCCAAAAAAGCTCTGCTTAGCTTGGCGAACTACATTTGTAAAATGTTTTTCTGCTTCATAATACAGTAGCAGTGATGTGATTGCTGCGCCAATTGCGCCAAACTGCGCCAAGGGGCTAACCCTGCTACATCCTGCTACATTTCGCCGAAATATGGGTAATCTGCGCCAAGCCTGCGCCAAAGGACCAATTTCGGTCACCTTTCAAAACCGAAATTAAACTGAGTACCGTAATTGAGCATGCCTGAGCTAGGTGGCGCAAGCGACCCCCCCGACAGAAAGTATGCTGCATCAATCGCCCATCCGGTCTCGCATAGTTTTTCCCGCCGTTCGTCATTTCGCGCTCTCGTGGGTCTCGTCTCGCATCCTGTTGAAAATATTTTAACGATAGATGCAAGCGTATATGGACGCCCCGACGCTCGTAGCTTGCCGGGTACCAGCCATGCCGTCATGTTGTAAAACGAAACCACGTTTTTGAGCATTGGGAGTTACTTGTGATCTGAAGCACTCGCTTCTGAAAGAGACGGCCGTGGCAAAACTATTTTTGGTCCCTGCCTACCACTCGCCGTGGTTATCACGTCGGGTGTTCCCGTCCACACATTGCTGCAGATATGGCGCTTTCTAAAATGAAACGTAAGGACCGCTGCAGGGTAACCAGCAATCCTGTCCTTGTTTAAATTAAACGCTACTACAAAAATCCCTCTAGCTCAAAGACTGTTGTGTCGAAGTACTGTTTACCTAGGTTTCTCTCTGTGGGATTTCTTTTAAGAGGGACCCCGGTACGTGAAAGGTCTGTCGCAAAAAAAAAAGTTTAAGACAAGTCAGCTAGAGCAAAAAAGGCAATGTCTGCACGCTGAACCCGCACAGTGCGCTTGTTTATCTTAAGTTCAGTTGTTGCACAAAGCGCTCCAAGAACTTTTTGACCCTGACTCGCGATGTCTTGCATTGATGCGCTCAGGTTCTTTTTTTTTTTTTTTATTGGCTTTATTGTCCTTGTTTTGTTTGCGCTTTTTAACCTTTTAAATTAGGTTGTGCCTCGCATACTGGCCTGGCAAGCACACGCCGCTGGACTGTTTTTTTTTTTATGCTGGACTGTTACATTTTGCATACAATTTTGGGGACCAGATGGTGACGGAGCGGAGTGGCAGAGTTTCGGTTTCGATCGAACAGCCGTCTTCGTTCGCATAACGAAGCGCGTGCAACTGCAAGCTGCCGAAGTTGCCCTCACGTGCACGCGAACATGGTTTGCACGACAGAGGTACCAGCCGGGACGCTTGAATCCATTGCTTTACATTTGCTTGCTTCTGACGAAAATCTGGCATGTCGGGAACTAGTAAAACGGTGGGAGACGTTTTGGAATTGCTCGGCAACGCCTACAGCACTGTACACATGTGGGATGTCTCAACGTTTCTTTGGAGACATTGAAAGTGGACATTCATTACTTGCCGAAAGCTAAGCGAGGCTTGCAGCAGCCTTGCAGAAAGTTTCAACAAGCAAAAGGAAAAGCACCCACCAGTCGTACTGCACCTTTTTCATGTGTACAGTTTCGTATTGCATTGCAGTAGTTACGTGTTTCATCAGTTGGATACTGCTTCAATTTATTATATTATATAACTAGTAAAGTTTATGCTTTCATATTTACTGCTAAGCTGGTCATTTTCAAATAAATTTAATATGTGCAATTTGGTTCTTATCTATAGCGGGTACATATATATATATGTATCATTTAACTGAAGCATTGCAAAATATGTTGTGTCATTGGCATTTCAGTTAACAACTTGAACGACTCCCAGGTCATCTAACTTGACCCTAATTTGTTTATTGTGGCGAGCAAGGTGCCCTTCCTTTTTCCAGCACTTAAAACAAATATTTTTATTTTTATAAAAAAAAAAAATCTGCTTCAAAAGCCACTTTTTGCTGCTCCGAAACACTGTTTTGGCTGCTCTAAAAGCCACTTTTGCTGCTCCAAAACACTGTTTTGGCTGCTCCAAAGGGCACTTTTGCTGCGCCAAAACACTATTTTGGCTGCTCCAAAACGGCTTAGGCCAATCACATCACTGCAGTAGCCACATAGAAGGTATGTTTTTACTTTGGCTAATCTAAATAAACACTTTTTTTGTTGTTCATTTTTCTAATTGCATTGTTAAACCATGGGGCAAATGGTTTGCTTTTAAATGGTAGGCGTTTTTAGGTAAGTTCGAACGACCATGTCCGGCGACCATTTTTAATTTTGATGAAAAAAAAAAATATTTTGCTGGCTCCATGCCCACAAGAATAAAACCAATCCTCGTTTTGGAAAAAAAGAAAGTCTGTGAAAAAACATTTGTAAGCGCCCTCTCAGTCATGTGCACGTTTTGCATATAGCACAATGTTGGCATTTCGGGCGGCTTCCCCGAAAAAACTGTTCTGGCTATGGGTCTAGAAATATTTACTGATAAATTAGGCATAGGAAGGATTAACAAAAAGTATTAACCACCGACTATTAGGGTCGTTATTTTGAGAGAAAAAATTGCAAATACGGCACATTGCGCAATAACGCTCTGGATTAAAGATTTTTTTCTCTATACATAAAAGCTAAGGTCTTCAAACCTTGCCAGTGTGTTGCCCTGTATATAGTTCATCTGTGCATGAAATATTGTCCTGGTTAGCGGGAGAAATTTACAAGAATTGCTCACACAGGGGCATTTAACTAAATATGCATTATTTTGAAAATCCTTTTAAAAAAAAAGACTATCTTTAATATTCTTTAGACTCTCCGAAATTCACGTTTTTAATATGTACTGACGGACTCTTCAAAAACATAATGCAATATTTGTGTGGCTTTGAAGTTATAAAGCGAGAAATATGGCCAAATTAACGCTAATGTGGTTGCCATAAATGGTGCGTACCCATACCCATTCTTCACAATTTCATTAATATTAAAAAGCGTAAAAATGCTACAGGGTGGTCAGGAAAAGACAAACTGACAGCACAGAGGTGGACGGTAGTTTTGAAGGAAAAATTCCTAATACATTTTCGTACAACCGACCCAAAAATGCCCATGGGCCGGAACGATCGAGAGGTGCCACCCTGTAACATGCTTCGCAATGCATGTTTTAACAGCCAGCGTGTAGCGTCTCCGTCTACACGACATTAAGGAAGCAACCAGAGTGACTTTGCAGCCTACAACCTTGGCGGTAACATGATATAGGAATGGTAATGGGTTTCTTCTTCTGGAGAGATAATTTGAAAGTAGCCAGAATGACTTGAAGGTCGCTTAGTTCTTTAAGGTAATCCAGGGATTGCAAGTTGCTTGGATTTGTCATGAGTATTAAGTCTACTATGTTCGAACTACGTGCAGTCTCTTGTTGCTGGCGTGATTACTTGAGTGAGTTGGTAGTTCTGTATGCAGTTTAAAAATTCACCACACTCTTTAGAGCTGACACGAGATAATTTGACATCTCGTGCGACATTTGCAGAGCTTGGTCAACGACATTTTGTCCTTGCCTGGAGATGAGAACCCCAGACTGAAAGAGCTAGTCCCCATCATGCTCATCTGCAGTGCATTGTCCCACTTTATCGAGTTGGATTCTGACTTATTTTCCGAACTGCGAGACTGGATGAAAGGGATCTGCAAGGAGCAAAGTATCAGTGAGTGCTTCTGTTTCTGCAACTTGATGTAACATTTTTCGTCCTCAAATGTCCTTGTTGGACAACTTGATTTCATTGGTGTGCCAGTTTCATATTGTCTGCATGCTTTGGTGAGTTCCCGTAAGCCCCAACTGAAATGCAGACAAGCGAGCAACTCGTAACCACCCGAGCTGGGGATAACCGGGACCATAATTTGGAGTGTCGTCAAATGACGCCACAGTAATTGTGCCAAGCACTCAGTGCCGGAACGAGCCAACTTTCACCTCCTTATATATGCTCGCTGTCATAAGTGTGCACAGATTATGATTTAGAAAGAAACTGTAATAATTGTTTTTCATTGAAGTTGGGCTATAAAGAATATTTTTTTTCTTTCCTCAGGTGATCCCGTCGTTTCGCGTAGCCTGGTGTCGTTTTTTCTCACCGTGAACCACCAGACAGCTGAGTGCCTGAGGAACCTTGCGCACATATCGGGCAGCGTTTATTCCAACCTCGGAGACATTGACGAGGCAAGCTTAGTAGGCTCTTTCCAGTCTCTGGCACAAATGTCTGCAGTGACAACTTTGTATTTAATTGCTTTTTGATTTGACTCTGCTACAGGATGTGGAGCCGGGTAGAAGACAAACTTATGCTGTCATCAGCCCAAAAACAGCGGGGGCGGTGACCACAGTTTTGTTGGATCACTTGCACAAGATTCAAGAGCGCATAGACTGGCTGCTAGGCGTGATGAAGTGCTACATTACCCTCGAGACACGTGCAAAAGAGAGGACAGGTAATGGCAGCGGCATCTAGCCGTGATGAATGCAGAATTATGAGAGCGAGCTCTAAAAAGCTTCCATGTGGTTTCATGAAAAGTCTGTCTAGAATTTAGGGAATTAGATTAATTTGATAATTGTAACTTGTGTTTCCTTGGGCTTAAAGAATTGAGAGATTTGCTTTGCAGAATGCTATCTGATCTCGCATGCGTGGCAGCTTGCATTGAGTGCCTTGAAATTGATCTGATCACTCTGCTGCTTAACAGGCGCCGAGCTGTCGAACCGGCAGGTGGAAGAGGTGGGCTTGTGCAGGCAGCTGGGATATCTGGTGGCCATTTTTGTAGAGCTCACGCAGTGCCGTCTGCCTCCCGGCCCGTGCGTGGAAGGTGTCATGAAGCAGCTCACCCGTCTCTACAACTCGCTCTCAGGTCTCAGCAAACTGGTGGGTTGGCAGTTGGCTCGAATGCCTCTTGGCATGCTCTTGCTTCAATTGTCTGTGCCTCTGTCTTTGCAGTACCTGTGTTTGTATAGCTCTAAACAGGGCGGCTTCTGCAATAAGTTTGAGAAGCTCGTCAAGCTGGCCGCTACCGAACTGACACCACAAGTATATGCTATGATCACATTTCTGCAGGTGAGGCATGCTTTGGTTAAGGCGTTTCGGTACATAATCTGGGAAGGGTGGGCATTGCCATAGCATATTGCTTTGAGATTTTCATAAAGCTGAGAGCATTGTGCACCTTCCTGTGATTTAAGTGGTATAATTTTAGAGAAGAGGGGCATTAACTCATTTGCTTATATCAAGTAATATTTTTATGTTACCATAACATGATTCCTTTGCAGAGTGCCGAGCCGGATGGACCTCCGAAAATGAAGAAACAAAGACGGAATGAAATCCAGAAGGTAAAGGGAAGTTTTGGCTTTGATGGGTGGCTGTGTAAACTGCTTTGTCCTACTTGCAAGCAATTGGAAGGCACCTAAGCAGGTGCACATTCCAACCAAGATGTGCACGCTCTTTCCCAAAAATCATTGAGACCACTTTGGTCAATAAAAAATTAATTCTTAGTGTTCTGTATCACAGGCAAATCCTTCGGTTAGACACTGGAGCGTCTAGACCGGCCTTTTAATCATGGCACTTGCAATAAATCGTCCTGCACCCACCATCCGCGTGCAGTCCCAATGCGGGTTCACTGTCTCGTCATCTGCTAACATAAGCTGATATTTCACACTTAGTAAGAGACGGGTTGTATTATTCATTCATGTGATCTCAAAGTTTTGTTCACAATCTCATTTGAGGAGCCCGGCTTTTTTTAATAAGCTGCTTAGTCATTTATGAAGTGTCAGCATTAATTAGCTGTATTTATAAGCTCTTACAGCTACACTACAATCTATATGGAGCTCAAGTTTGTCTGCTTTTTTTCTCAAGGGTTGTGGTGACATAAAAATGCAACCTCTAATAAGCTCCGATTGAAGGATAGTGGGTAGACCTCGAAGCAGTATTGGGTAGTAACTACAGTAAAACCTTGTTATAACAAAATAGGATATAACAAACTAATCGATATAACAAAGCAATCCTAATTCCCCTTGCTTACTAATAGTGGGAAGAAATGGACATTGGCTATAACAAACTAATGGTTATAACGAAATAATTACGACCGCTCCTTCAACTTTGTTATAACGAGGTTTTACTGTAGTAACGCATTACCGGTAACTAGTTGCTTTTTTCTGTAACTCGTTACTGCTTAGTGAAAAGAACTTGTAATGTAATTGAGTTACTTATTTTCGAAAGTGACTGTAAAATGTAACGTTGTTACAGTTACTTCTCAGATTTACGTAATATCCCGAGTCATCGCCCATCCCCGAGCCATCGCCCACCCCATTTTTTGGGCCAATATCGATTTCCGAAAAAACACCGAGTCATCGCCCACCCCTTCAAATACCCCAGCGCGGACTCTGCGATCCGCGAACACTCATCCTACCCGAATGACGCGGCCGCGGCCGCGGACCTTACAGTTGGAGGACCTCCGTGACAAAGTAAAACGAAGGAGGGAAAGACACTTCTTTTTGTTTACGCATTTCCTCCGTGAGCGACCCCAAAGTGGTCGTGTATCCGTGCGAAAAGAAAACGTGGAGATAACAAAATAAGAGTTTGCGGAGTATTAAGTCAAAGTCTGTCTCCGCCGAAGTAAGAACACCGCGAACCCGCTCCTTCTTCCCGCCCGTCGCGACCGCGGTTGCGCAATATTTTAGGCAAAGCCAACGCGTAAATAAAGCTTTGCTGGAACGCCCTACACAGACGTTTGCAGAGCGTCCCAACCGTGCATTGATAGCCCGCCGTGCACGGACGCACGTATGTACGCACCAAACAAGAAAGTTGCGCAAGAGCTTGTGATTGACAAGGCGCCCGACTTGGCCCGACGCCAAAGTATTTGCCAACGCGACTGCCGGCTTTCCCGCTTTCCCAGGATTGCTCTTGGTCGCTTCTTTGGTCCGCTCGCTCCCTCGCTCGCTCGTTGCGCCTGGTCGGTTTTTCTATTTTCTTGTAGACTTTTCTTTTTTTTTTTTTTTTTACTAACTAGGAGAACATAGTGGTGACATTCTTTCACGGAACAAACGTTCGCGCTATATGCAGATCGGCGGTGTTTCTAGCGCGTATGCAAGCAACGGACTTCGCTATAGTAAAATATTCTTTCGTGAGCATTCTTTTCTATAAAACAATGAAACTAAATCGAGTTTTGAGTTTGATGTATCTCTTGTGCATCAGCGCTAGATACGCGGAGAGAAATAGGCGGTTTTTCCGCTTTTTTTCAAGTGTTTGTGCTCACCCACCGAGACATGGCCCACCCCACTTTTTTAATGAATTTCAGGCGGTAGGGGGGTGGGCGATGACTTGGGATATTACGGTATGTGCAAAAATATTGCAAACACAACCACCAAATCGTCTCGCAACTCGTGAGGGAGTCTCTAGTCCTGGTACGGGAAGGGCACAGCAAAAACTGCTGCAGAAAGCGTCTGGAGAAGGAGGGAAAAAAATAAAAACAAAAAGAAACTAAATTCTTGGGTGACCCTACTTGGCCAAGCTGGTACCACCAACTGGGAGGATGGGGACATTTGTGTCTGTACTAGCCGTGTATGGCGCATCTCCCACAGCATACACAGATTTAATAAAGCGTGGCATGTCTAAAGCGTTTTTCTTTTCTCTGTCCGGCGGAGGGAGTTAATGCTTTTTGCAGAGGACAGCTTTTGGTGATTGTCGTCCCGAACGCCCGCAGGCTTGCGGCACAATCGATTTTCCAAACCTCGTCTTCCTGCCGCCAAGCATACATTTCCTTCCTCTCTAATTTGAATCGTCCAACTCCCAGATGCACTCTTGTGGGATCTCGACTTCTGGCCCAATTTCTCTCCCTTCCTTTTTTTTTTTTTTTTTTTTTACAACCCAGTTATTGGCTCTGCTTCCCTCACCCACTTCTCGTCCCTTCTCGGGTCCTGACACTTGACAAGCGGAATTTGCTCGAAACATCTGTGTCGTTCTGCTTGGTTGTGTGTTTTCTTGAAATCGAAAGACCGCCCTTAGCCGGGACCAGGGGCACTTGGCATCAGTTGATTTATAGATATTCACGTCGTGGGCTTTCCGGTTGGTTTCTTCTATTTTGGGTGGTGAGATGGAGGAGCACAAGCGTTTTCGATCTGGTTAGGGAGTGGCAGAGAAAAGATCGCAACAGCCGTTTGGAACTCTACACGCAGTGGTCGCTTGTACCTCGATCAGTGCTTATTTTGACGGGGGAATGTTGCCGCAACATTGCTTTCCAAGTTTTCAGGGGAAGCTTCGTGTTTCATGAAAGATTGTGCGCACGCTTTAGAAAATTATTCGACCGACGAGTGGATTGGAGTGGCGTAAGAAAACTTCTACAAAGCTGATTGCAAGGTATGACTTATATTAATATTGGCTTCACATTTGCACAATTTTTATTGCTTGCATCCGATTTCACCTCGTCAAACAAATCAGAAATTACAATACAAAAAAGCGCAAAAAATTAAACGAAGGACAAGTGAGAGGAATGCACACGACAAGCGCTTACTTACAACTGAATTTTAATAAAAAGAAACATGAAACCCTCGAACCACCAAAACACAAAACACCGCCAATCTTATCAATGTGATTACAATCTTGCTTCGTAAGGACACATATAAGCAATATCGCTGCCAAAGTCGTTTGGCAGCGTGTGCATTCCTCTCGTTCGTCCTTCGACTAATTTTTCACACTTTTTTTTTGTTGTATAATGCATCACCAACTCGCCCAAGTTACCACTCTAATCAGAAATTTGAATTGACCGATTGTAAACTAACACCCGGATTGGATATACTCAAGATCTGGACATGTACTGTTGTGTGCATGTATATCTTATGGTGGTTGCGCTTATTTTAGAGTTCTTCATGAACCATTTATCTGCTATGTTAAAATTTTGAAAAACTAAAGTCGCCTGTAATTTTGCCAAAGAACAGACTCTAAATTCTTTATCATGTAGTGGATTTACTCGGATTCGGCCTTAAATTATGATCTTGTTCAAGGAGCTATTTATGGTAAAAATTGAAATAAGAAGAAACAAACATGTTAATATTGATTATTACGAAAATCTTAGTTTCACAAAATAATCAGATCCACTATTGTGAACAACACAGTCTTATATAAGAAATCTATGCTAATTTAAAGGCATATGAAGGAAGTTTCCTTTTGAATGTTTTGTATGTTTTTTTATTTTTTTGTAAAGTAACCACAAAGTAACGGCATTACTTTAGCGAAGTAACTGTAACACGTTACTCTTTCAATTTTCTAACTTTAACAGGGTTACTTTTATTGCCTGAATAATTGTAACACCTACATTTTAGCAATAACATGCCCATGACTGCCTCAAAGCAAGCTGCCTTGAGGGCTACCCACTATCCTTCAATCGGAGCCTATCAGAGCTTGCCGTTTTGACATCACCGCAACCCTGCAAAAGAAGGAGACAAACTTGCACTCTGCATATGCATATTTGTTAGCTCTCCTAATATTTAGTATACCAGAATCTTGGGCAGCATAGCAGATGTTACTTTTTTTTAGTAGCCAGTCGCCCGTTGAGGCAGACTAACTTCAGGCTGTATAAGCGTTCAAACAACACAATTGTTTTTTATGCAAGGCGCTGGCATTTTTTAATATTTCTCTAATGTTTTGTGACAGGCAGTGGTTGCCAAAGAGCTGAGCATCATTCCCTCCCTTATCTATGCGATTGAGCAGCACGAAAGACTGCTCATTCAACTGGTCAAGAAATCAAAGGTATTTGGAAAGTCTGGGTTTTCTGTGCAGGCAGTCGTACGAGACAAGCTCTTTTGCAGGTCAACCTCATGGAGGGTGCCAAGATGAGCACGGCACGGGACTTCCGCATCAACTCTGCCACCGTTCAGGCCCTTCTTGAAGAATCGGCTGAGGCCGACGAGAATGAGGTAGGACATTCTCACTGCACTGTTTGCACACTTGGTACTTTCCAAAAATCACAGTCCACGTTCAAAATCCGAGTCTGACGAGTGAGCACTCGCCACTTTAGCAGTGGTGAAATTGTGTGTATCAAATTAATGTGGCAAGAAATGCTTACTGGCAATAAAGTAGAAAGTTGGGCTAGTTGGTTTTGGTTATACATAATGACAAATACACAGCGCAAAAGGACAAAAAGAGAAGAGACACACCGGATAGAACAGAGCGCTGACTCGCAACTTACTGGCAAGGTAAGAATTTTTTGGAGTGGCAATTTGCAGTTGCAGTTGTCTTGCTTCCAGCATGAGCCTAGTGACTTTATGAATCACTTGAGAGGTTTGTGCAACACCAGTACATCGTGGACACACATTCGTGTACTCATTACTGTTTGGTGCACATTAAAGTTCTTAAGGTAGCAGTCGTATTGCACTGGCTAAATGTCTCGTCTCCAGCATAGGCTGGTGGCACCATACCTCGGAGGTAGACCGACCTCTCGTTGACCAATGAGCATCTAATTTTCTTTTTTGCTTTGGAGGCAGGACAACCAGAGGACCTCCCAGTCATTCTTTTTGCTTAGCTCGTGCATTTAAAGTGAAGCCCTTCTGGGTTCCTCTAATTGTTCCAAAAGGGTTGTTTTGTTGCACCAGCTCTGTGTTTTTAGTATCTGGGAGATGGTGAAGCATACATGCCTGGTGGCATCTCCGACCTCTCCTCCTCTTCTCTGCTTTTGTTTTTTTTTTCTTTGCAGAATATGAATTGTACACTGCGTAAGACTGTTACAACTTTCGCGCTTTTTTGTTTTTTACTCCGAAAGGGTACCGGCGGTCATCAGAATTTACCACTCAAGCTAGCATCCCAGCTGAGCGCTTTCCACCACTATAGTTGTTTTGATGACAGTCCTTCAATACTGAGAGAAAACCGGCAATGGCTTGTTCGCATTAGCAGTGCAGTGCCGCAGAGTGTACCTCAGTTCACAGTGAGGAGGAGAAAAGGAAACAAATGCTTCTTTGACAGAACTCTGTGTCTTGGGGGGGGGGGGGGGGGGGAGGACTTCTGAAAAGTTTGAAGGACTACAGTATTTTCCAGTCTAGTCTACAGACTATACATGTTTTAAAGTTGAAATATTACACAGTTGTGACCAGACTTGTGCCATATATTTGAAAAAAGTAATTAATTATGATTACTTGACCATAAAACTAATGGATTACCATCACAAATTACTGGCTATAAAAAGTAATTGATTAATTACTTTGTTACTCTACTCTATTACTTATCAGTTACTTCAAGAAAGACATGCAAAGACGTGATTTGTGCTTAGTATCCTTGTATGCACTCATAGAATAACTTATTTACAATCTATAAACAGCAACTAATTTATGTTTGTCTTCCCTACAGCTAAAATAAACCAATAGCAGCGTGACAGTTCGACCTGTCCACAAGTATTTGCCCCATGATTTCCGTCACGGCGGTATTTGGCCCCGAACGCTAACCCAAATATTTGGTGATAAATTGATCGTTACCGAGCGCAGTCTGTGTGACTCATGCTCGTATTGAATTTGAGAGTTGATTTTTGGCTTGCAAGCGTGGACACTGGGGATCATCACGGTACACTGTGGAGGTGGGAGACTGCGGATCATAGCGGTATACACTGTGGATCATTGCGAAGGCGAGAATACAAATATAGTGCTCCCATACCCCATTCACATGGCCAGCATAAAAGTACTTTTAACAAAAATGAAAGACATTTACAAATCTCTGTAATGCAAAATTTGAGCGTAGCTCTTGAGGAAGAGGAGGAGGAGGAGGGAAGGGTAAGCCCCTCCTCCTCCATACCCTCCCCTCCTCTCCCCCTCCTCCTTCCACAGTTTCCCGCTAAATTTAGCTGGAAAATTGACACCACGTGACCTCCAACACCAATTACTTTCCCCGCTAAATTTAGCGGGGAAAATGACGTCGCATGACTTCGTGCCACGTCCCCTATGAACAGATTCAGTTTCTCCGCTAGATTTAGTGGGAAAATTGACGTCATATGACCTCAACACCAATTCGCTTTCCTGCTAAATTTAGCGGGGCGGTTACGCCGATGGTGACGCCGCTATATGCAGAAACAGGTGCCTAAGATCTGCGCTCTAATAGGTCCCTTTGCAATTGGCAAATAAGCCAGCGCCCTGGGGTCGTGAGCACATGCCACTCGCGGGGTATTGGGAACTGGTTTGCCGCCGACCATAAAGGACCCTATAGCTAAAGGAACCTTTATGATTGTGTGAATGGAGTATTAGTGTTTTGAATATCACAGCAGAAATCGTGTTTATACTCCTCGTGCGCTAAACTGTTTTGACTCGCTAAGCAGTATTCAGTAAGCAATATTCAAGCCCAAAATCGTTTCATGGTGTGTTTAATAAACTGATTTACACACGGTATTTCTAACCCTACAACCATTTTTGTAAAGTTTATAGGCTAGTATGTTTTAGAAGATCAAAAATTTTTGCCGAATTGTTTTTGCAGGCCCATATGGCTCCTATCGCACTACTCATGGTATGCTTAGAAGTAGCATTATGAACTGCCGATACTAATATCCTTTTACGGAAATAAAATTTGCGCAAACTCCCTGGGCAACTGTTCGAAACATACTTTATGCCGCATGTCAGCGGAGACACATGGACGGAAAAATAATCAAAGGCTATGTTGCTAGTGCAAAACTGTTAGGCTTGCTTCAGACGGTGCAACTTTCTCTGCAATTTTGGGGTTGCTGGCGGGTTGTTCCCTAGCTTTCCCTAGATCGACTTGAATTGCTGAGATCGGGTCTGGCTCAAAACAAGCGAGCAACCCTGAGGGATTCGAAGACGTTTGGAAGCGGCAGCAGGCCAGTCAGGGACGCAATACTTTCACGTGATACCCCGTGCCGGTGATGATGGCAACTGAAAGCTTGCTTCTGGTTTGAAATATTGTTTTTAGAAACAAACCATTTCAGAAAGATGCATTAGCATTCTCAATGCCATTTAAATGCATAAAAACATTTTTTATTATGTAACTGTGTGTCTAAATAGTGCGAGAAAAATAGAATTTAATGATAATGATGGCAAATTGCAGCAATTGGTTGCTGCATGTGAATGCGGGCGGCCCGTGTTGCTGGTGTTGTGACATCAAGTTGCTGGGAGAAATTGCCCTGTCTGAAGAGGGCCTTATGCAATCGCCAACTTATCAACCACAGAAAAATCTTTTTTAAATTCTTTTAAACACTGGTTTCCACAAAGAAAAAAAAAAGAAGGCTTACTTTTACATAATTTTTCTAAGTTAGAATTCGTGGACTTGGCAGGTGAAAGCACCTTTTTTTGGGGGGAAGCAGAGTAGGCATTGAAACTCTAAATCCAGTCCAATGGGTGCCTTGAAGCTTGAACATAGGATCTAACGACATGGTGATGGTGGAAGAGACATGCTGAATGCACACTGCTGGAACCTCTTGCGTTTTTTATAGCTGTTGATCAGCAAGCTAGAGACAGGATCTCAGTAAAACATATTTAACAGCAGAAAAAGAAAAGTTTATATAGATAAAACTTATCTATGTAAACACGAGGAGAAAAAGAGGGCTGAGAGAAAGGCAGGATTTCACGAGGACTACACTTGACTTTAGGCTATACCCTACTAAGACGACGAGAATGCGAGGTTTTTTCAATAAAACAAAGCTAAGCAAGGGAAACGGAAAGAGTTCACGGAAAACTCATCAGCAGATGTGGTGACTTGTGAGTCGTTCTCCAAGACGACACTTGTTTCGCTTGTAGGTTGAACTAGGGCTCTGGGTGTTCGTCTCTACTTGACAAGAAAGTTGGAAACCTCGAGCCTCCATCACAGGAAGAAAACGACATGCTTTGTTTGCAGTGTAACAAGAAAATCGAAGAAAAATTGCACGTAAAAGCGTCGCAAGGCACTGGGGCTCTCAAATTGTTCTTAGAACTGGACAGCATCTGGCCTTTTGTCCCGCAAAACCCCTCTCAGAGCGACTCCGACTCATCCCCTGCACAAAACGCAAACAAGCAAAAGAAGGGAGTCTGACGCCCCACCGGCCTCGGTGCACACACAGTTGCAGTGTCTACTGTTTTAGTTTAAAGAAAAAGATGTGAAAGAAAGCGATTAGTTCAACTTCGGGCTTTTTTTAGGGTGTTGCTTGTGTCTTTATTCACGTCGCGCTTCCAAAATCTGAGCGCGGGCTGTGACTAGAGTGCACAAACTTTCCAATAATGATCTTTGCAGAAAAACACAGCAGATGCAGCCGAACCCACTCCACAGTTCCAGTTTGGTAGATTCGTGCCATGTGACATTTTTATGAGCCATTTCTCTTTTCCCTTCACCCCACCTTGAATCCAGTGCTCAATGCTCGAAGGCTTCCTTTTCCTGCGAAAAAGCGACCGTGTGTCGGGGCCCTCCTCATTTAAGGCCCGTTCACACACTTCCAACCTAGTACGACCAAGAGAGACGAGACCTGTTGAAACCTCTTAAAATTTCTTAGGACGAGAGAACACACTGGCATGCTGGCGCCATCTATGTGGTGACCCTGGAACTGCATTTTACAAGGGGGCAAAGGTTTTGCGGGATTTCCGAGGTCACATGTGCCTAATAGCTGTGAGAAAGGCTCATTTATAACGTTGACAAACGCTTTTCGAGCCAAGAAAGAAAGGACAATGCGCGAGAGAAATAGAAAATATGCTGGGCCGCCAAGTTTACACTGCTACCCAATAGATGGCGCCAGTGTGCTCTCGTTTTAAGAGGTTCCAAGGCACCCGGTTCTAAGAGGTCGCAAGTCTGTGAACGGGCCTTTATCGTGCTACGGAGATAGCAGAGTCAACACCCCCCCCCCCCCCCCCCCTCTCTGTTTCCCTGTCCCCGCCTTCTCCTTTTTTTTTTTTTTCCCAGGACTTGTCTAGCTTTTGACTTCAGTCTATCTGCCCCTCACCCCCTCCCTTTTGTTTCAGTGATGTGGCCCTAAAATCCTAATTTTATTATTATACTTAAAATATTGAAAAAAAAAATTGAAATAACAAAAAAATTTAGTAACTTGTGGTAATCCGCTACTGAAAAAGTAATGAAATTGCGTTAAAAATTGCTCTTTTTTAAATAATTGATTAATTAATTGAATATGCTGGACATGTTAACCTAAACATGGACAAGTGTATGTAATTATATCAGCTTGAACTTTAGAAATATCTAGAACACAAAGACAGAAACGACAGGATATGACACACAGGACAAGTACCCATGTTTAAGTTAACCCAGTTCTCAGTGAAAGTGTGGTGCAGGCACGTAGCCAGGGGGAGTCCCATGGGGCCCGGGCCCCCTCTGAAATCTTCCATGTTGTTGGGACCTCCTCTCCCCCCTCCCCCTCATTCAGCATTTTGTCATGGGCGGGCCCCCCCGAAACAAAATCCTGGCTACGTGCCTGGTGTGGTGGGCACTCCCCCGGTATTTTACAGTAGTGAGGTACCCCCATTTAGAGAGAACAGAAACGGACTGACGACATCTCTTCCTGAACGAGTGTATTGTATAAACAACCGGCTCATCCTAACCTTCATGTTTAGTGAAAGGTCTAGGATATTTCTGTCTAGGCTGTTTTGGTGCAGACTTTTCGGTGCACGGACTTTTCAAGGAGCTCGTACTTTTTGATGTATGGGCATTTCAAGGCCCGGACATTTCGGTATATATACATTTGATATCCTAATGATCTTTCAGTTGTCACAAAAAAAAAAGAAAGTAAAAACAAAAAAACCTAGGTAGACATATTATTACTTAATTATCGTCCAGAACCCAGAAATAATAAATCAAGCATGCCGTCTTCCCGTCGCAATTAGCTAAACAGCTATTGTTAAAGGAAGCACAAAAACTAGCTTTAAAACAATGAGCTGCTTCTACACAGTGGCGTTACTAGGGGCAGCTGCAGCCGGGGTGGTGACCCGCGGCGACACCTCCCGGAGCGCTGCACCCGGGGCGGTCCCCCCCTCCCGTCAGTGACGCCACTGCTTCTACATTTGATTAACTTTACTCCACATATAAAGTTTTCCCTTGGAAATATGGCGATGCAACAATTTAAAGTTATGTAACACAGTATACATTTGTGTATTCATTTCAGTTCTGAGCTTTATTGGGCTATATGTCTGTCGTATCATTGTGAATTGTTTTACAAAGAGAGTTACGACGCAAAAGCTACACGCAATATAAAAAAAGGAAGCTTTAAGCAGAGCGAACGCTGGAACAGAAAAACATTTTCAAAACATTTCTCAGTTACTTTTTTTTTTTTTTCGCAAGTGTAACTAGTTTAAAGTTTTGCTGATAGTAACATTTCGTTTTACATAAGTAATATAGTGTCGGTTTTGTTTTAGTCGTGTTTATTTTTCTTCGCAATTCTTTGTCCACACTTAGGTCAATAATTACGGCCCTTAACTAACTGGAAGTGCTGGAGCATCTGTTGAAAGTTGTGTGGAAACCGTTACATTAGTAGTAATGTCACGGGGACAAAACAGCTTGGGCACTTGTTCCCCAATTACCGACGGGAAGACGGCAACACGCCGGTGAGCGCGTACAAATAAATTTATTTCGCCATTACGCATTGCTATAACAAATAATGCTGGGAGTTCAACTATTTCAATATCTGAATTCTTATTTGCATCGAAATGTCCATACACTGAAATGCCCGTGCACCTAGATCTCTGTAGTACACCGCCGGATCCCCTTAGTGAGATCGGTTCCTTTCACATTGTTTCTCGTGCACTGGTGCGAGCTCTAAAGCGACCTGAGGCGATGTGGGGAGAGGTTGAAAAAAATTTTTTTTTGTTTACATTATGAATTCAATTAAAAATCACATATAGCTTTAAGAATAAACACAGAAGTTGCACAGCGAGCTTTCTCAACAAACGATATGATGCCTGTCGTGCGATGTCGAGAGGCACCAATCGGTCGTTGTCTAAGGTGATAATTAAAAAATAGTTTGTTGGAAGATAAATGATTAAATAATATATAACCGTTTATATACTCTGATAAATAAAAGCATGTGACTGAGTGGAAAGAATAAACATCTAATATGGAGAGAGATCAGCGATTTTCATAGAGAATATTTTCCTACTTTCATTTACTGTCGTTTTGATTCTCTCAAATAAAGTAACTTTTATGTTGTTTTTTTGTTAGCTGGAAAATAAGACAATTTATCAAAAATGCATAATTGCTTTTCCACGCATTCCTTCTCGTGAGCCTTTGGTTTTGTATGCAGTACATTGTTACTATGAACTTGTTTGTCGTGTCCCGCACTGGGTGCAGGGGTGGAACTGCTGCGCCATTTGCACCAAACTGCGCCAGAACGAGAACCCTGCTACATGCTGCTCCAAAGGTTGTATTTGTGCACAATTTGTGCCACGTGTGCGCCAAAAGGGAGCTGTTCTCAAAAAGGAAACTGAAAGTGTCTGGCACTTGGCATTCTTGGCGATGCCACCGAAAATTAAGAAAGTACAGTTGTTGATCTTGCGGATGCCTAAGTACTATGTGCGAAGAGTACGGCTGCGCGAATATTCGAATTATCAAATACTAGTTTCAAATTATACGCCATCTGATGTTCGCTTTAAAATTAACTGCAATGTTCATACTTTTCGAAATGTTGATCTCGGCGGGTTAGCCCCCTTGAGTGCGCTTTACCTCAAGCATCGATCCACTGCGGAGAAGCAATACCCGCGGAGCTGACACCGCGATCTCGCGACCAGCCGCGCACTTAGGCGAAAAACACACCTTCAAAGTGGTAAAACGCTCGCGCGCTCCTGGTGTAATAATGATAAAAAAAAATATATGATTGTTGATATTTATATTTAAATAAAATCTTCCAAATTTAAATCTGGCTTTTATGCAAGGGTGTGTGTTAGACACCGATGTTTTAACAACCTGTGTTCACTAGTTGTACTTGCTTTGTTTAAATTCAGAATTTAAGAAAATCAAGGAAATTTTTAAATCTCCTCAATTAGGTAGAGAGGGGCTTCCTTATAGGCACTTATAGGTTTAATTTTATGCCAAATCTGTCACTTACTTGCCCTCCTAATGTAAGCACTCGACTGTCTGAGGCCACAGTCTATAAATATAGCTAGATTAAATTTAACGGAGCTCATAAGTGGGCAATTAGAAGCTTGAAAATAACCTTTGCGAGTTCTGCTGAATTTTTGTTTAAGCGTGGTGTAACAGTAGTGAAAGGCAAGGAGAAAGGCGCAGCAGCTATTCAATATTTTATTAAAAAACATTCGGCCAAAACCACTATTCACTTTGAATTGGCTTTGAACCCAAAATCCATTATTTGCACATTTCTAACGAAGAGTTACCGGTTTCTGTGCGAACGGTGCTCACATTGATTGTACAAATAGGTAGCGCAACTCGTGATCAGATAGAGTAGCTATATACCCTGGTTAGCTGCTGTAAGAACAGTAGCAGGTTGAATACGAGCGAGGGCAGCGAGAGACACATTTAACACAAAAGTGTCCGTTTGACGTCGAACTCGCGACGATTAGCTCACCCTGATACAAGCCCTACAAAGTAGCCAAAAACATATTTTTTACGTCAAACACAAACCGAAGACACCATCGGTGCCCCTAATAGGTTAATTGGGACATCTGGAAAACTGGAAAATTACCAGCCTGTGATTCTTCAATAAATAAATAAATAAGTATCTGTAGTGGCCAGGTCCGCTGTAAATATGATCCCTTAAACAGTCTCGCAACACTCCAACAACTGAAGATTTTTCATTGGCTAACTTTTAAAAAAATTGTATAAAAATTTTTGACATGAAAGCTGAAGATTGTCTGCTCCAAAAGTGGGAATTTCTGCTCCAAAACCCGTTGTTCCCTGCTACAAGAGCTGCTCCAAATCACCATTTGTCAGTTCCACCACTGCGGGTGTCTTGCCGTTCCATGGGAAGTATTGTTTATAAAACATGTATCATTCGGGGCAATATTTATACCACTGAAGGGGTTCGCTTAAAAACAAACCCATCTTCATCGAAGCGTCGTTCTGTACATGCCTTTTCTCACGCTGCGCCTCAATCATTTTATGCCCTGACAATTTCCCTCCGTACACATTCCTAGCTTAATTGTTTCGCACAGCTAACATTCTAGATAATAGAGCGTGCCCGTGCTAATAAGAACTCGTAGCTACTAAGATAAATCCACTCGCGATGCCTACATTTCAGCGCTGTTCCGCGGCGTCCCATTGCTTCCCGTGTAATCATATTTGTTCCCTAGTTCTTCTGTTATTTGGAGATGACTTTCCAGACAATACCAGTTGTTTTTGCGACGTATATCGACGCGCTGTGCCTTCACATCAGCACTATGCCGAGGTGCCCATCCCGACGCGATCGCCTCCAACCGTGACGTCACGAGAGGCGTTCTCGGGCCTTGACTTTAGGTTCAAGGTCGTCACCGTGCCGTGGTGTTGGTCGTGCTGTGCACAGTAAAGGCCAGCTCCCAGCATTTCTTTCGGTGCGTCGGATGGCGCTGCAATCCTTGCAAATGGTGATATAGATTGAACCCACGTACCAAATGTGTTGTTTGAGAAAGCAGAGTGGAAAGAGGTGCACTTAACAATTGGGCGTCTTGGACGCAGGACGACGACGGAGATGCCAGCGGGGAGCCTTCAGCGCGATGCTCGGCGCCTGTGTCGTGCGCGAAGAAACCCGAGCGCAAGCGGTCCAGGAAAGCGGTGGCCAGTGGGAAAAGACAACGTTGACCTCGACGGCTAGAGCTTCGAACGCCACGCTATTGTTTTTTTGTTTGCTTGTTTTTTGTATTTTTTATGTGTTTAAAACGCGGGAAATGACTCGTGATTCTAATAAATTAAGCACCTGCGCTGACCAAGTTGCCTCTCCACTGCGTGCAAATACACGAAATCGCCTCCGCGCAGCGTTGTGTGAGAGGCTGCGCAAGCACGTGGCTCTGAAATGCGCTCTTCTTGGGTGCTGGCTCGTCTTGAAGCTAACTTTCTGCAGCATTGAAGTCGGTGCTAAAGCCACTAAATGAACTGCGCTTAGAGTATCATCGGCACTCCGTTCCTCGATTGTGGGCGCCACCATTTTGGTTCGTATGCAGGGCAGACACAACTGCCGATCGTCATGATTCAAAAGTGCGATTTCCTCAGCACTAGATTCGGTGTTAGGAAGGTCATGTAATTTCGCTTTGCTCTGTCGCGAATTGAAAAAGGGCGGAAAAGCATTTCCTGTGATTTCAGATAACTGGCAACCATGATTTAAGACACAATTTGGCCAAGTGTCGTTACTCTGAAACGTAGCTTATTTAGTGGCACTCGTCGGAGCTGTGGACGTCCGTGCGCTCGCGCACCTTGAGCGCTACTCAAAGCTGTACACGCACGCTCTCTTCACCTCTGCCGCATGAAGTTGTGCTCTGGCCGTTGTCGAATCTGTTGCTGCTTCCGGGAGCAAATCGAGAGTTGGTAGATCGTACGCTGCGAAAAACGGGCCCAGCGGGCGCGGGCTCAATCTCCGAAGTAACGGCCCGAGTTGGCGCTAGCAAAGTGTAGCCCTAGGATACGGTCTACTAAGAGTCTGTTGACCCAGAAAGTGGATTGAACAAGCATCTGAATGATTACCACCTTTTATTAACCTTTCCGTAAGAAATAGAGTCGCCGCCACTGTGCATGCGCTGAACCCAAACCTCGTTTTGGATTGGCGCGTACATGGGCATGCGCAGAACTTTTTTTCAAGGGGGCAAGGCTCTTTTGAAAGGGGGGCCTTCTTTTTTTTTTTTTTTTGTGTGTGTGTGTGTGTGGCGTAATAACATTTTGCCACCGTTTGCGACAGCAATGCAGACGTAGTAATTGGTTCCAGCATTGTTTTAGAATGCCGGGGCGTATGGGCTAGTTCATAAACCCCCAAATCCCAGAAATAAAGGGGGGGGGGGGGGGGGGGGGAAACAGGGGGTGCCTCCCCCTATCCCTTTTTATTGCATCCTAGACGGCGCTATTTCTTTGCATATGTGAAGCTTTTAGGCGCGCTATTCTAAAACTCGCCAATTCAATACTCCAAATTAACAGTATATAAGAATTCCCCCGTTTCGTTCCCCTGAGAGCACGCGTAAACGGCGAACTTTCAGAACGCTCCAACAACGTGCGTTCGCAACCATCAAGGTAATCTTGACAGGCGTGATGAAGACAGCTCAAACGGCGAAGACGAAGAAACGGACACAACAGTGCAGTGTACTAGAACAGTGGTTCTCAAATGGGGCTCTGTAAAGCCCTGCCTGCTTTATCAGTCATGCCCGGCGATAAAAGTTGTCTTTTCTCAGGTCGAGAAGAAATGTTTCAGTTTTCGGGCTAATTTTCTCGTGTGTATGTCAATAAGAGAGGTCTACTTCACACTAGCCCTTACCCCCCCCCCCCCCCCCCCCCTCCTTCACCACTAACGGGGTCCTCTAGGGTGCCTACATGTTCCCGCCGCTCCGGAGCGGAAACATGTAGGCACCCTAGGGTCCTCCATCATCTCCACCAATCCACAAGGGTAAGATTATAATGCAATTAAATGCAAAGGTGCAAGCGAGCTGGACAAGAATGACGAAAATAATCCCTGGAGAAGGGGAACAAGAGGGACAAACGCAAATCTCCCGGGTTCGGTACCCGGACCAGGCGGATTTTTTCGGTCGCGCACCAGTCGCCTAGCTGTGTTTGGAGATTTGTGTTTGTCATTTGTCCCTCTTGTTCCCCCTCTCCAGGGATTGTTTTCGTCATTATTTTCGTGATCCACTAGGGGTCCGCGAAACATCGATGGTTGAGAACGACTGTACTAGAATACAGGACAGTGTTGGGACCGGAGCGGCTCGCGTAAAGTGTGGTGTTGATCGCGATGGGTGTCGACACTGGCGCATCGGCAGTAGGGTCGGTATGGTGGTGGTTGTGTACGAGCACGCACGGCTGCACGTGCTCGCTGCAGGGACTTTCTGCTGCCCTGTCGACTGCAGCGCCGTGATTGATGTCTACACGAGCAGCCTCACAAGGTCCCATTGCCGAGCCACGCCGGTCCAAACACTCTGGTACATATTCTCGTACACTGTAACGACAGGACGAAGCGGTTAGTTTTCGTTTCGTGTCTGCTTCTTCACTTCGTTTTCTTTTTTTTCTTTTTTTAAAGGGGGGGGGGGGGGGCGTTTTTGTCACGTATAACGTTTACCAACTTGCCCAATTCACTACCTTAGTACTCGACAGACGATAAGTGTCGGCTCACTCTGAGCATGCACTGTGCACAACGCGCTCAGCCACTTTCGGCGCTGCTTGAGTGTTTCTATCGGAAAGCCTTCGCCTCCCGACGTCGTCCTCACGACGAGATCGAGCACTGACACAAACTGGACAGGAATGCTTCGTCAGCGTCAGGCCGGGCTTGACGTCTCCGGTCGATGAGGACAGTCAGCTGACGCCATCCTAGTGTGGTGACGTTATGGAGAGGTAGCGTGGACGACGAGTCCTTTCGAACGGGACGGCGACGCCCGCTCAATGCGTGATGCGCAGGCAAGCGCGGGTCGAGCAATGCTCACACGAGGACACCAGTCGACGGGTGATTTTATTGCCGGGCACAGCCCGCGGCGGCGAGTCCGGTGGGTGAAGCGCTGCAACGTGACGCCCCCGGGGTAAGCACCAAGGCTGCAGGAGTAGCCGAAAACCCCACTCCTACGGCGCTAGTACTTAGCCCGGAGTGTCACACGGCCGGAGACATCTTGGCTGGGCCGGACCGGCTCCTTTGTCCGTCCACAGGGGGCGACGTGTATTGGATATCCAAGAGCTAGAACATAATTGAGATTACAGTAAGTGATGGAAGGCTCATGATCTCGTGTATATCCATGTTTTTCAATTACTCTTTGTAAAACGGCAATAGTATCCGAACACCCCATGAAAAAGTACCATCACCTTGCATTTCTATTACTATTGTAACGGTTCTGTTTCCCCCACTTCAAAACCAGTATAAAATCTAGAGATTAAATAAAAAAGCTTATAAGCGGTTTGCGGATGTTCGCAGAGAGAAAATTGCGACCGCAAAGACGACGAATGCTTGGAGATGTATCAAGTCGGCTGGGATCCGGACCAAGTGGTCCCAAGCAAATTTTGAGATATAGTTTGCTTGTTTTTTGGCGTTTTAGTCATTTCTTTTCACTCGCTGCAAAGTGAACATAGAGTGAAAAATGTTTTGTTGATTAAGATATGAAACGCTTACCATTTTAACATTTAGGTACAGTATTCAATTCAAAACACATTGCATGCCTGTAGCTGAGCCAAGCTGAAGGGAAAAGTATACGATAAAAATAATATACAAGTGCATATATCAAAGTCTATATAATATTTTATATAATCAATACGAGAAGATAAACGTACCATATAACACGTCATCATACATATATATATATATATATATATATATATATATATATATATATATATATATATATATATACACATATACAACGAGCATGGTGGCGGGGGGCCGAAGGCGTGGGTATAGAAGAAGAAAAGAACCCTTAGTGAAAACAGCAACAACGGACAATAAATCTTCGACGTCAGGCCGGAGTCCGGCCTTCCTGACGAAGGCCGGACTCCGGCCGAAACGTCGAATATTAAATCGTCCGTTGTATATATATATATATTCACAAAATATTTGCCCTTATAGGAGATGGTCGTCCACGGTCGCCAAAAAAGTGATCTGCAGATGCGTTTCGAGCCTGGTAGGCTTTTCGTCAGTCCAAGCAAGAACCATATATTTAGGGTGTGTACTTTCCGGTGTTTATTTGTGAGAAAAATCGGCGGATGTTTTTCGGTGTTTATTTAGTTTCAAAACACCGATGTATTTCGGTGGAACGTCTCACGACGAGGCTAAAATCGGTGATTATCGGTGAAAAAAAAGCGATTGATCACAGACAGAGAGTTCCAATTTTGTTCACATAGTTCTTACACTTCTTCTCTAGGAAGCAACTATTTCTCACACTTGGTTATTATAGTAGATGCAAGCATACTTTCTTGCTTGCATCTGCACGCAAGGAACGTGCTGCCGTCATGGCAGCACGTTCCTTGCGGTTCGCAACCCGCAATTATGAAAACGCACGCTCTTGTACGACACGGACGTTGGCATTCTCTTCCAGGAACCACAGCAACCTCTGAATACACGGCTTGCACCGACATCACTTGGCCAGACACAATGAGGAAAAGGCACGTGAGAGCCTACCCTCCACTGCGTTAATTTTTCCCCAAAAGGGAGCCATGGGAGACACAATGGGGGAAAGGCGTATGAGAGCTTAGCTTCCACTGCGTTCACTAGACGCTTTTGACCCCCAGAAAGGAGGGCTGACTGACGCCACCTGCAAGCCATGTATAAACACTGCAAGAAAGCAGGATCCACGAGATAACACGTTTGACGAACCTCTACGGGGAAAGGGTTTCGCTAGGTCGGAAACTAGCAACGACCGGTGTTTTTCGGTTTTAACCAGGGCGAAAATATCCAACCACCGGTGTTTTTCGGTTTTAACCGATTTTATATGTTCGTCACCGACGGATGTTTATCGGTGTTTTTCGGTTAAAACCGGAAAATGCACACCCTACATATATTTGACGTTCGTGTTTATAGTCTGCCTTTGAGGAGCGCCGACACTGGTTTGCACTGTAGGAGAGAAATTTAGCCAGTGCTGCATGCACGCCATCACAAATATGTATAGTATGTGAATGATAATGTCTGAACACCATGTGCATACATTTTCTTGCAGCACCATTCCGTTAATTCGAAATTATAGAACAAACTCATGCATTTCCTTTATATTTCTTCCCGCGTCTGTAACTAAAGTCACAGTACAGCCCACGCTACGAGCT